GTTTGGAACAACTTTGACATTGTTTTCCACCAAGTAATTCATTACCTTATGACTTTTGTGAACTCTTGAATTATCAAAATGAATTGCAAACTTTTGTTTTTGTTGTTTGGATTTCTCAAACTCATCAGAATTGATAATTTGAGTAAGAACATTGTCAATTAGATACTGAGCATTCATCGTATTAGGTTTTTGAAGAATATCAATTGCGATGATGCCATTCACGCCCCAAAAAACCGACAACATCATCATTGGTGTGTCAATTTTTTTCTTCGGGAATGTTTGCAGATTTTCATCCTTCGGGATCCACATGATTTTGGCTTCTGTTGCATATTGAAACCAAGACTCGTCCCCTGTTACTAAAAGCGAAACTTCTTGGATTGATACGCACCCAATATAGAGAGGAGCTCTTTCGAAGATTGGACTCTAGATTTTTTTTGAACTGAATTAAGGTTGTGCGGAACCCAACGTGTATACGCTAGTTTGTAGTTCAAATAATTGTGCAGATAATAACTGACTGTTGTACGTGGTATCTTGTCATCTCCTCTATCCTTCTGAGTGATGCTCTTGGGTCTTCATCTAGCGCTTGAAGAATTGCTTTGATTTTTCTTTGATCCGGCGATTTTTTGTCAATTTTTATGATGGGCGCCTTTTTGTTCATGAAGTGATACATCCTAACATGATACGTTACAGTGGAATAGCTAGGAGCATCCATACCGAAGCATTTTACCAATGTCTCGTAGATTTTTTTACAGTCTTTGCATTTTTTTGCAAGAGCGAGGATGTTTTCTTTATGATTCATTAAAAAAATGAAAAAAATCCCGCCAAAATTTCCCGCGAAACCGCCTCTTGTCTCAAAATTCATTTTATATCCCGGCATGGCGCCAAAATACAACATACTCATCATATACATATATTCATATTTTTTATTATATATTTATAATCAGCATATATCTCCTTGAATAGTCTCATATAGAGCGCTGTGCTAAACGCACCTTTGGACACCCTATATTAAATTCTTTTATTTTTGCTTCACTCAGTTTAAGGATTGAACGGTAAGTTTCTAATTTTTCGATTATTTCTTTCCTCTCTTTATCGTTTTCAGCCCCACCGCATTGCGGCTTCTTTTTGCAATAGCATATTTTTGATTTAATTCTGTTTAGTTTCTTTTTATATTCATTGTCTGGACTCTTGGCTGCTTTGTTGTCACTCATTTCTTACGAAATAAAAAAATTAAATATTATTTAAATATAATGGAGTAATAAAATAAATCGGAATTTCTATTAACTTATTGTCAACTTCAACTAATGCATTGCCGTTAATATATCTAACAAATTCAGCTATTGTGTCAAATCTTCGTCTTCTTTTTGTCATTGATTTATCAGTTTTTCCATAATCGAGATGAATCAAAACTTTATCCCCTTGTTTAAAATTCATGAGCCCCGAATTAATTTGTTCACGTTTAACATCATTTAACCTTTCCATTTGCTTTCTAATATATTCCCATTCTTTTGAAATATCATTTTTCATTTCCACTGGTTTCATGTTTATAGTTCTATGCCATGTATTATTGTAATAATATACTAACTGTTGTATGATGGAGTCATGATTTCCATCCCAGTATATCTGACCGTTAACTCCTAACGCATCTCTAAGAGTTCTCATTACCGCATCAACTATTTTATTATGAAACGTATATGGAGAGGATGAAAAGTAAAAATTAATTTGTGGGAAATAATGAGCCATAGCTGCCTGAAATCCTTTATCACCATCACCCCTTATATTATCTACTCTTTCATGATCTAGTAAGTATTGTATAGCTCTTCTTGTTTCCTGTTCTGTTTTCCCTTTCACCGGAATGCAATATAAATATCTGGTGTTAATGTTAATGGCAAATAAATAAGTAACGTTTCCTTTTGAATATTCTAAATGATCGATTTCGTATGAATATGGATATGGTGCAAATGAAGGGCGACTAAATTTTTCCTTTAACGGTTGAATTTTTGGGTCAGTTGGTTTATTTAATATTTTGAAATCATTTTTAAAATCTTTTTGCTTCTTTAATGTTTGAAATGGATATAATAAAGTGAATGATGAAGGATTAACTGAAGGAGGAGGAGGTACTACCGTTGGAGGTTTTGGTGTTGCAAGTGGTTTAATTTTATCTGCTTTGATTTTGGATTTCATTCCCCCCTTCATTAATTCTGGATGTATTCTATTCATTTGTTTTAAATATGCTGTATATAAAGGTTTGATATACTTTCCCGCTTCGAGTTTATGTTGAAGGATGAATTCCAAAAGTTGATCTTCATTTAAAAGTCGGGCTGAATATGGTTTAACTAATGAATCATAAATTAAAGCTTGTGCATCATTTATGGTCTGAAGGACCTGGGCGTTTTGCACCTTTAGCTGTTGAACATTTGCTACTTTCTCTTTTGGTGTTGTTTTTGGCTTTTTCTTCTTTGGCTTTTGTTCCTTTGGCTTTTGCGGCTCAGGATTATATAATTTATATAATTCATCAATATCTTCTTCTGTTAATATTTTATTTTTGAAATCTTTCAATTGTTTAAGTTGTGATTTAGTTTTTCCCTTTGTATATTCATTATTTTTAATTTTGTCTTTAATTTTAGAAATTATTTTATCATGATATTTCAAAATTTCATTTTTATAATACCGATAATAATAACCCATATCATCACCCGTTATATTGTTATTATGTTTTTGGAGATATGATTTTAATTCATAATAATTAAGAAAATTTTGATAAAATACTAAATCATCAATTAAAATTTCTAAATCTACGTTATCCATTTATATAAAAATAAAATAAATGTTTTAAGGGTGCCCACCTCTTTGAATCATAGTATCAAAACCATTATTTACATATTGAATCACATCATTAACGGTTCCTTTTGTCTCTTCTGTGGTATTTTATTAAAAATAAAATTTTAAATTCATGACTCAACCCCTACGTTTTTAAATTGTATTAAATAAATGGCATACAACATCCATTTTCACAACATACAGCCTTAGTGTGTGCTCCTGTTAATGCAGTCTTACCGATTGTTAAGCGAGTCATTGACCCGTTTTTAAGTTGTAAATTAATATTCTGACCATCAAATATCACTTTATCATTTATTATATCCAAATAATTTTTAGGTGTTAATTGTTTATTTTGTCGTAAACTAACACCTTTCATTTTTTGTGCAATCTTTTTAAAATCACTTCCATCAATTGAACTGTTGAATGATGTATAACACTTGGGGCATAAAGCAACCATGTTATCACCTTGTTTCTCAATTGCTAAACCCAATAACTTCTTCTCATGTGCTTTTTCTTCAGCTTTATTCTTTAGTTTAGGTTTAAATTTCTCATCAAAACAGAAGAAATCAAAAGGTGCGAATTTGAAAATGTTTTTATCATAAAATTGTTTATCGGTAACAATTGCTTGAAATGCTTGAGTGTTAGGAAGATTTGGATCGCCAGCGATTGCCCAATAAGATGAATCAGTATCACCTTCAATGAAATGAAAACGATTAACATTCATGCATTTATACATAAAATCATAAATGAAAACCAAATACCAGTATTTAGCATTATCTAAAGTGAAGAATGCCTCTTGTAAACATGTATCACATCTATAAAATCTATCTTTGAGCATCACTTGATACGTATCCTCTCCTATTTCTCTTATGTTTTTAAACTTATTTGACATACATGCAACGCGTGCCTTCTGTGCATTCATTATTTTAGTCTTTGCGTAATTTTGTGTATTCATTGCATCGTAACCATATGATCCATTAAGCGAAATCTTGCAAAATAAACTTTTTCCTTTATTTCCTTCTAATTCAGCCTTTTGTCTTTCGTTCATAAATTCGTTCGCAAATTCATTAAAACAAGTGTTTTTAGTAAATGTTAAAATTGATTGAATATCATCGATGATAAAATGAAATCTGTCTATTAGATACCAAAGATAATAAGAAGAAAATGGTTGATATTGGTTGTGTGTTGATGCTAACTGAGTTAATTTCCTCTGTTTCTGGTCAACTGGTAGATTGTTTGATTTCATGTAATTATACATAAAACTGCCAATTGTTTTTTCATCTGTGATAATATCTAAGTTTCTTATTATCGGTAAAAAGTTTATGTAATCATTAATGTATTTTTCATCAATGTGACCCTTTACTTCAGCCACGAATAAAGTATTTTTCTTTCTAATAATTCCCAGTGCTTTTGCTTTCTTTGTTGTTGTATCACAAATGATAACACCATTCAATCTTCCCGGCATATACATTTTATGGTCAGTATATTGAATGAAATCATGAGGATTAGATGAAAATGATGAAGGATATAATGAATTAAAATCAACACCAACGAAATGAGTCATAATGTTGGTGGTGTCCTCATTTGATACAGTTTTAGTTTCTGGACTATATGAAAGTTTATTAATGTGCGTGATTCCTTTAAGATTTACTCTATGTTGAACATTTGATAGACCACCAGTAATTCCATTACGGAGAATGTGATAAGCTTCAACTGAATCTAAAGTCATTGGTAAATTATTTTTTAATGCATAATTTCTTAAATTGATTCTTAAACGTTGAACATCTTCATCTTTATTTGATTTTACGACATTGCAATAACAACACATTAACTGACAATTTTCTTTGGTATGTGGTTTTTCATTATCGATTCTATCCAATGTTGGTTTATTAGCATATGTAAACGCTTTACCACACATTTTGCATTTAGATGAAAGGATTAAATCGTGATAGTATTGAAAATCATCCATTGAAACATTATTTTTAGTATCTCTTTCTGCTTTTTCATCTTGTTTCTTATATGATTCAATTTTATATTTCCAATACTTTTTCGTTAATTCAAAACTTGATTCTATCTCTTCCTCAGGATATTTTTCATTAGGATTAAAGTCTTTATATGCTAAAGCGTAACGAATCATTGAAGCATTCGATGATAAAGAAAGATTATGAAGCGTGTCAATTTTATAAACAAATGTTTCTTCAATAATTTTATCGATTGGGTCAATCATAATTTCAACATCTTTATTGCAATAATGAATAAAATATTCTAATCTATTCTTAAAATTTTTAGCATCGTTGAGATATATTTGATAATCACTATCTGATATAGTTTCTTGAGTTAATGCTGAATAAAATGAATCTTTCGTGAATGGTTCCTCTTTATATAATTCTTCTTCGGAATTCTCCCATGTGATAAATTGATAAGGGAAAAAGGATTTAACACGTGATTTATTGTTTCCGAAATCTTGAGTGAATTGGTCTAATGTCCCACCCGCTATATAATTTCTGATGTCAATAAATCTCAATTCATATGGAGCGTTTGTTTTCTTTACAATGACTTGCTTAAATTGTGAAGATGAACCCAGCATTGATTTTATTTTCCATTTTGCAGTGTTTAAATCACGAAGAATTAAATTTAAATCAAACTTTCCCGAATTAAAACCTATGATATTCACTTTATTGAATTCCTCATCTAGAAGTTCTTTAAATGCTTCCTTCTGTTTTTCATTTAATGTATGGGACAAAGTCCCCGCCGTTTGCGGCTTCATTAATTCTTCATATTGTTCAATATTTGATTCAACAACTAATGAACAGGTTGAAAATAAAAACTCAATCCAATCAGAAATAAAAGAATCACTCGAAGTTAAGCAAAAATTCCTCGTATACGTTTTATCATTTAATTTAACTGTTGATGATACCATGAATGGTTTTAAGTAAGCGTTCAAAGTTGCACACTCAGAAAGTTGTAATTCTTCTTTAGTCTCTAATGTTTCGAAGTCAAAAGTAATATAATATCTTGTCGGTTTATAATATTTCTGCAAATTGTGAGCTAATAACCACTGATATATCTTCTGTTTCGTAATATGTGGTGCATATGGTTGCTGGGTCTTTTGCAATTGAACGTCTTGAATTAATCTTCCATTATTTTCTTTACATTTCTCACAATGCTTTAAAAATCTTCTTTGGTTTTTCCTTTCTGGATCATCACGGATAGAATAAACTTCTTCTTTACAATATGGACAAACTTTATAGCCGGTGAGTGCTTCAACGTCTGTTATTCTGTCAGCGTGAAGTTTTCCACATGGACTCTGTGTTAATAAAATATTTACTGTTTCAAATTCTGGATCTATCATTATTGATTCCACTAATGGAAATTCTACCTTATTTATGTCCACGTCTTCTGGTTGAGGATCACAATAATAGAAATCAATATTAACATTTAACATTCTCGCTAATCTCTCACTTTCTGATGAAATGTCAAACCCTTCATATGCATCTATTGCTTCATTTAAATAGCTTCTACGAGTTTTAGGATTAACACCATCAGGAATGTTATAGAAGCGTTTAAATAACCTTCTACCTTCTGCTCTAATTTGATTATCATTCATTTTAGCTGTTCCGTTTTTGTTCATTTATGTAAGAATAAAAAATTAAAAAATAAATAAAAATAAAGTTTATTTTTTAAAGCCCATAAAATGAATTAAGAACACATAAATTTTTATCATCTGCGACGTGACGAATACATTTTAATTTACTCAAGAATGCGTACCCTGATACATTAAATCTAATTCCTGTCTTATTTAATTTCACAACTTTGAAAAGGAATGTATGAATAGCTATAAAATGATGAGAAGATGTTTTATGGGTTGCTTCCATTTTTTCTGAAATAAATGAATAAATATAATGTTTATAAGTTTTCATATCTTTTATGTTCTTAATAACGAATGGTATAGACCTTTCAACTTCATCTTCCTTCGGTGCTGTTCTTTCATATGAAACATTATTAGTATCTTCAACAATGAAACCGCAATCACATAAAATTTTATATGTTCCAATGGTTTCTTTTGATATTTTATCTAATAAATCAAAAACTTTATCAACACCTGTGCATTTATTTAAATAATAATTTGTGTAAATATCATGATCTTCTTTCTTAATCGTATTAGTTGCATATGTCACGTTTTTAAGAGCTTTTTTGAATTTTTCGGAATCTAAAGGTGGTGAAAGCAGGATACAGGGGTATTCTTCATTATCAATAAATTGTAACTTATGTTTACGAATAAATTTAGTACCTTCTTCTGAAAGTGTTTCGTCTATTTCACCATCTAATAAATTTTGTGTTGATTCTGAGACATAATTTTTATATCTTTCTTCATGAGATTTCTGTACTTCTGATTCTGAAGCTGGGATATTCATTAAACCCTCTACTTCATTTTCATTATATTTTTCAACTTCTCTTAATTCCTTAATTTTTTCATCTATTTCATCTCTTATTTTTTTCAGTCTTTCAATTTCATTGTATTCATCATCTTTAATCCGTTCTTCATAATATTCGGGGAAAACATCAGGTTCTTTAGGTTTTTCTTCTGCAGATGTGGGATATAAGAAATTTATAACATCATCTTTATTCATTTTTCCATCATAATCTAAATCATTTAATAACTCGGCAAATTTTTGACAATTTCTTAAATAATATTTATCAACTTCATAACCCACCTCCTCTAATATATCCTTTATTTCCCCGTTTGTGAATCCTAATTTTTTAACGTTGTTAGTTTTGACGCTCATTTCATACAAAATAAAAAAATAAAATAATAAACATAACTAAGTTTTAATTTTTCGTAAGACATGAATTTTTAAAATTTTTTTATTTTATTCATGAAAATAATTATTTCTAATTTCTTTTACTCTCTCGTACATACTAGATTTAAAGAATTCAGAACATTTCCCATAATCTCCTAAATGTTTTCTTATCTTATTGGTTTTCCATTCATTATATGAAACTGTATAAACTTTATCTTTATCTTTGCATCTTTCATCACTTCCAATATATTTATATTTCAATTTTGATTTATTGGTTTCATATTCATTAACGTTTAATAATTCACAGTCTTCCTTTTTAAATAAATGTTTTATGTATTCAGGATTAACAATTCTATAATATTGCTTCCCTTTAAATCTTTGAATATAAACAGGAACACCATCCTCTAAAATTCGATAATCTATTTTATCTGGTTTTACTTGTTGGGTCATTTATGTAAGAATAAAAAAATAAATTATTTTAAAATTAATGTTAATTTTTTAATGATTTATTTTTTAAAAAAAATTTATTTTTTATTTCATTATGTATGGGCTGAGTGTAAATGTCTTACAATTTTGAAAATTTTTTAAATCTTGATTTATTCAAAAACGTAAGAATAAAAACCGTAAGAATCATACATTTTTTACTTCATATGTTAAAAAAATGATACAAAATCGCTCGATATTGTATGAATTCTTACGTTTACAAAAAAAGTCACAAAACCCATCCTATCCTACTACAAAGGTGACCAAACTATTTTTTGAAAGTCCGCCATAACTTTAATGGTACTATTTCAGCGTGTACAATGAATACAAAAATTCTAAGAGTGCCACATAAAATAGTACTTTAGACTTGAGTTAATGCTACCAAGCAAATGTTAAAAAGATGACTTTAGTATTTTGATAATCAAAGATTAAAATCATTATTGTCTAAATCAATAATCATAACGACAGAAGTTAATGTTTTTTCATAAGTGCTTTAAATCCACTTTTAAAAGTATACCTCAAAAATCAAAATATCAAAAAAAATTGGCCGATAGGTTTGGCTTTAATTTTTGTCTGCTTTTATGATTTGATATGGATGTTATAATTTTAAAAGTTGAGCCAAATTCACCAATAGATTTTTGAGATTTGCAAATACTCAATAATTTTCAGCGTGTTATCTTTTATTAAAAGAACTATTTGGTTTCAGTATCATATAAATTGATATTTACTTTCTATTTGAACCTTCATTTAGCTAATGATTTAGTAATACAGATTTCATCTAATCCTTATAAGAGAATTTTGAATTTGTTATAATAAAAAAACAAACAGATATAGCTTACACTTCTATAATAAAGATACCTTTTATAGAAATCAGTATGAAATGTGTTTTGGCTTATTGGAAGCATATCAGACATAATCGCCATAATCAAAAAATCTATATACCCAATAAGTAATAAATTTGTCGATATAGATTTTCCATAAAATTAGTTTTTAGTCTGATCTTAAAATAAATTTAATTTTTTATAAAAAAAATCACATTTAAAAGTACCTTTTTAGTAGCTCGAAATCCTGTTGGTGGATTTCAGGCGTACTTCAAAATTAGCTTTTCTTCTACATATGCAAGCTATATTTTAAATATGGAGCAAATCGGATCGGCGAAAGTAGTTTAGTTACCTTTTCCTACTACTGAAATTTCAGAAACTTATTTTTCAATATTCTCTCTTTCTTGAGCGTTTTCCTGCTCGTGAATATAGGGTTAATATTTCCATATTGTTTTCACAAAACTTTGTTTGTTCCGACTTTCTCTGATTGTCATTGAGATCCTTTGAAACTATAAATATACCATAAAATTGCCGACAAACTATGTACTGTGTCATATCTGATAATTACAAGATCTTTATATCAGACTAAATTTTATATGAGATTTCCTTTGATTTGAATGAGCTCATTACATTATTTGTAGATGCTATCTATTTCAGCATCATTACAATGGCTAACAGCTTATTTTTCAAAGAAAAATAAAATTTAAACTCGAATCACTCCAATTTCATTGATTATTTAGCATAAATATGATGATAAAGAGCATATATTTGTTGTCCAGATGCCTAATTTAATGATTGTATTTTTTCAATCGAAAAAAAAAATGCAACCAACGCTTCGTTCCTGTTTACCTGAATTTGAAAGACAACTTTCTGAACTGGAACAGCTTGCGTCGCAAAGTGCAGTACACCGAAAGAAGTTTGAGTTCGCTGTGAACCAATTTCGAAGATTTTTATTATGTTTTTCACAAGATGCTAAAGATGATCCTATTACACCAGATCAAGAAGCTGCATATAGATCAATATTAGATATTTTGCGGGAATTACATCAACTTTTATGTCAATATCAATTACATTGTTGGTCGCATACGACTTTGGAAAATCCATGCAATTCGGTTGCCACTACCCTTTGTCAATTAACATCGCGGTTACAAAAACTTGCCTTAAAACTTCATGAAAACTCTTCAAAAGCATTTGAAATCGATTCCCCACAATGGATGCAATATCATATTCTCGATTTACGAGGTATTGCTGCCTCTTTCAATCAGTACATACAAAATTGCGCAGAAGATGATCCTGTCGCAGATTTAATTAATGAAAGACTAGATAGCGTAAATACTTACTTAAAACAATACGAAAACGAAACTATTAATAGTGGTTTACGAGTTTTCTCACCTATCCCAGTTATTTACCAAAAATGGCAAGTAAATTTAGATGATTTCGAAGTTATCAAAGAAATCGGCGCCGGTGTTTCCTCGCATGTATTCTACGGCAAGTACAAGAAGACAGACCAAGAAGTAGCCATCAAACGCCTTAAATTTAAGAAATTAAGTGGATTAAAATTGGCTTCCTTCCAAAGAGAGGTTTCTGTTCTTGCTACATGTTGTCATCCATGTCTTATAGGTTTTGTTGGTGCAACAGATACCCCTCCATTCTGTATTGTCACTGAGTGGATGCCAAATGATACTTTGTACCACGATTTACACAAGCACCACAAATTGGATACGACCATGAGGACCATTGCCGCATTTGATATCGCTAGAGGTATGCAGGAACTCCATTCCAAGCATATTATTCATAGAGATTTGAAATCATTAAATGTTTTATTGGACAAAGACTATCATGTACACATCTGCGACTTCGGATTCTCTCGTGGAGCAGGTGAAGAGCAACTATACACTCAAAACGTTGGAACTCCCCATTGGATGGCCCCAGAATTACTTGATTCGTCACACAGTTACAATTATAAAGTCGATGTTTACGCGTACGGTATCGTACTTTGGGAGATAATGACATGCCAATTGCCGTATTCAGGTTTGGAGAGTACTCAAATTATTGCACAAGTAATGATGAATGATTTACGGCCATCAATACCAGAATCGACTAATGGTCCACTCAGAGATCTTACTACTAGCTGCTGGGACCGAAATCCTGATAGGAGACCGACATTTGATGAGATTATCAGAAGATTTCAGACAAACGAGATCACTTTGAACGGAGCAGACAAAGAAATGTTCGTCAAATACATGGAAGAGAAGATTGGCAAGGTCGGAATGAAACAAGCTGCAATTGAAGATAAAATTTCTCAAGTAAACGATGATGAAGCCGCTCTTCAAGATTTAATTGACTTCCTTGAGAAGAATGGACTTCCAAATGACCTCGTTTACAAGTGTTGGGAGACTGTAGAGCGAAATGTCGACGGACCACCTAAAAATGTCGGCCGTGCAGCAGCTTTCTTCCTAACAACAGCGGTCAAAACGAAAGCAGCCGCTGTTATAAGGATGCTTCCTGCAGGATCAGTGCCAGCAAAGCTTCTTATGCCTGTTATCGAATTAATTCCGAGCGGTTTATCAGAATTCGATGCCGATATCACCATAGCAGCCTGTAAAAACGGTGCAGCTGATGTCTGTGTTGTTTATGTTGTCAACCAGACGTATTTAAAGCTTGCGATGGAAGTTGTTTCTCAACAAGGGGCCAGTCCATCATTAAAAGCCGCTGTTGCAGACAGATGTGTTCAGTGTCTCTCCTCCAACGACCATGCATTGATAATGGCCGCTACAAGGTGTCTCATCGGTATAGGAGACGCCAGAAGAATTTCATGTAATTTGATTGAAAATTGTCTAAAAAGTGACGATGATCAATTACGGAATTGCATGATAGTTGCAGCAGCCGCTTCTGCATCTACAGGATCACAGTTGTCCATAGATATAATAGATACTGTCTTCCAGGAGATGTCTGAAGGAAGTGAGATTGCAGAAGCAACTTTAGTTGCTGCTTGTAAATCTCCTCATTCTGCAATTCAGGTTGTGAATAGAATTGCATTTTTGGAACATATTCCAAGAAGTTTCGCATTGAGAATTATGTTGTTGGCCGCACAATATGATGAAGTAAGGCCTGTAATTAGCGTTGCTTTGCAGATGATCAAAATGGAAGATGAAACTGATCAGTTCCTTATCGAAGCTTATAACAAATTGAAGAAATGTATTCCTAATGTATAGATTTTGTTTATTTTTCTTGTTTTTATTTTATATTAAAATATTTGTTGTTTTGTTGTTTGAATTTTAAAGATTTTAATCTATTAAAGTCGCTGACAATCATTTAGGGTTTTTTGTATTTCAATTTAAAGAGATTAGCTTAAGTAATTCACTAATTCATATTCATCATCAGGAATTTCATTGAATAACATACACAAATCAAATCAAAATTTCACATAATTTCATCTGAGTTTAGTAGATTTCATATTCATATCTAGATTAATCAAAGAATAAGAAAAATATTATTTTTGATTCAGATGTTTAATTAAATTAGTATGATCATATTATAATTTTCTTTAAATAATTACTATGCCCTAACAAATTTAAGGCATGGATGCATCGATATAGCATTCTAATCGAGGATCTTGTGTAATGACACCAGAAATTATTTTTCTCCCCCTGTTATATAAAATGGATCCATTGTTTTATGCTTGCTTTAAAGTTATCAGCAATATACTTGTTTTGCTGATTGTATTGCGTTTCATTATCCCTGTGATCGTGAAAATCATTTCTCCTATGGAATTACAGTCAAAACCAGTGACAGAATCAACTGATTGGTTAAATTTCTCTATAGAGAGATTTATGGAGATAGTTGATTCGCCAGAGGGTCTTGAAAAGCTGTCTAACGCAATTTCTAATGCAATGGCTCCAAATTATTTCAAATTAAATTCAATTGGAAGTAATCCAATTATCAGCCACATTTCAACACTCAAGATGAAAGAAGCTGATGATATCCGTATTGCAGTTCCAATAACATTAGATATTGGTCCCTCTTTCGATGTCGGATTTAATTGCAAAAATTTGATTTTGAAAATCGATGTTATCAAACTGAAAACAACATTACTTCTCACATGGCTTGGAAATAGTGATACTTGCATCGAACTTACGTTTGTTGATGGTTTTGACATTGATTTTTACTTATCTGTCAAATTATTCCATTTCTTAACTTTCACTTTATCAGAAATACCGATTCTTGGAGCAATCATTAAAGCTCTTGGAACATTATTCATCCAAAGACAAGTTATCAAGATTAATCTTCCAAAACCAGTTACTCGCGAATCCTTACAACAGTTTTACTGATAATTAAGAAAATTCTACATTTTGAATATTTCTTTTTATGATTTATTCAAATTGAAGAATAACTCAGTAATTACAAATAATTGCTATTGTTTTATTAGCTATTGTTCGATTTTTGTTTACATCCTTTTATATTTTTTGTTTAAACATCATAGATTTACTAAATTTAACCTATTTTTTTTAATGATTACGATTTAAAGCAAAAAGCTTGATGAGTGTATAAAGGAAAGGGCCGGTGAAATCCAATGGACTGCATTTGGATGCTTAATATTGCATTTTTTGAAACTTAAAATTCCAAAAAAAATTCAAAATTTTAAAAATGAAGATAAAAAATATGAATTTCATAATAAAAAAAGAAAAATGAAATATTTTTGGAATTATAAAGTAGTTTTATTTTTTATGTTTGTACAATTTTCTTCATAAATATATCAAAATTATACTCTAATTTAGATATTTAGATAATTTCCAAAAAATTGCTGTATGAAACCTGTTAGCATCATTTGAAAAATGGTAAGAAGTTGATAAGTGATCATTTTCCCTTCTTATTTCAATATCGTGTTATAAAATCGGATGATCAATTCATTTTTTTTTTACAAATGCTTTTCTTTTTCCATTTCTTCATAGCTCAGACTTTATCAGCAAACGAAATTTCATTTGCTTTGGATAAAGATACGCTTACTATTACTGGAAATGGAGATTTAACACAAGAACTCCTTAATGAAAAAGTAAAATCTAAATTTAACAAACTTATTATCAATGCTAATTCAATAAAACTCTCGGATTCACTATTTGAAGGAAATACAGATATTGAATCTGTTACAATTAGTTCCGGAATTTCGGAAATTTCAAATAGTGTATTTTCAGGATGTTCAAATCTTAAAACTATCGATATATCTTGCAGCATTAACACAATTGGCGAGCTTTCTTTTGCTGATTGCACATCTCTTTCTGAAATAAAACTTCCTTCTACTGTATCAAGCATTGGAAAGGAAGCTTTCAAGAAATGCACTTCAATTAAAACACACACTCTTCCATTACATGTCTTGAAAATCGAAGAAGGAGTTTTCAGCTACAATTATGCGTTATTATCCATAAAATTACACGATTCTCTTACATACATTGGCAGACGAGCATTCTATTGGTGCAAGAATCTCAAATCCATTGAAATTCCGGAGTCTTGTACTGTTGTTTCAGATTATGCTTTCGAATTTTGCGTTGACATGACAAATCTAACACTTCCGAACTCTTTACAATTACTAGGTAACAGTTCTTTCATGCAATGCCATAGTTTGAAAACAATTACAATATCCCAGAATTTACCTTCGACAGATTGCAAATTTGGCGTATCCGCCTTTGAAGGCTGTGAGTCACTAGAGAAACTAACATTTCCAGAAAGCATTTCATCGCTTGGAATGAGGTGTTTTCTCGATTGTTCGTCCCTCGAGTCAATAACCATTCCAGAAACGATCACTCAAATCAGCTTTAAATGTTTTGAGAAGTGCAAGTCGTTAAAATACGTTACTCTTCATTCAAAAATAAAATATTTCGCAAACAACGTATTTTTCGATTGCCATGCACTTATTTCGATAGATATTCCACAACAAGTTACGAGAATTAGTGATTTATGCTTTACTTATTGCAGAAATCTGAAAACAGTTAATCTCTCACCAAATCTTAAAACCATTGGTACGAGTTCTTTCTCAGGATGTGATAACCTCGAAACAATTACATTTCCTGCAACTTTGGAAGTTTTAGGCAAAAATTGTTTCCAAAATTGCAAATTACTTAATAATATTGAACTCCCAAGCAACTTATCCGATATTGGAGATTCTTGTTTCTATGGCTGCGAGTCTCTTTCTAAAATTTCTCTGCCAAATTCGATAAAATTTGTGAAATCTGCTACTTTTGAAGATTCAACGTCATTATCAGAGATTGTTCTTTCCCAATATATAGAAGAAATCAGAGATTCTGCATTTTGCAACTGCAAATCACTCAAAGAAATTAATCTTCCTTCTACATTAAAATCCATTGGAAACTACGTGTTCTTTGGCTGTAAATCACTCGAAAAAGTCAAATGCGATCCACGAAACAGATATTTCATTTCTGAAAATAATATTTTATTCTCATACTCGAAAGCAGAATTGATTTTAGTACCAGCATGTTACAATTCCGATAAGTTTTCTTTCCCATCTACAGTTAGTACATTACATCACTCTTCTTTCGCTTATAACAAATATATCTCAGAAATTATTATTCCAGATCATGTAGAAACCATCGGATTTGCATCATTTTATGAATGCACGAACCTCAAATCCATCAAACTTTCAAATAAACTCAAAGAAATCGATGGAAAACTATTTTACGGCTGTTCCTCATTATCCTCAATAGAAATACCAAACTCAGTTACATGTATAAGGCTTGGAACATTCACCAGCTGCTCCTCACTCTCTTCAGTCAAACTTTCAGAGAATCTTGAGACAATTGAAGGTTTTGTATTCCAAAACTGCATCAAACTCGAATCAATAAAGATTCCTAATGGTATACAAGAGATCAGACAGTATTGTTTCGGTAATTCTGGTTTGAAATCAATTGAATTACCTGAAAACGTGTCAATGTTAGAGAGATATTGCTTTTCAAACTGCAGATCGCTAAAAACTATCAAATTGTCTGATAAAATCCACACATTCGGCGATAGTTGCTTTGAAAATTGTTCATCTCTAGAAACTCTTGTTTTTCCAGAGAATCTCGGAGTCCTTGGCCAAAAATCATTATCGATGTGCACATCTCTTGTCAATCTAACGCTTTCGGATAAACTCCGAAAGATTTCTCGCGATACATTTTACGGATGCAGCAAATTAGAGAATATTAAGGTCTCCAATGTCTCCGAAATAGAATCTAGTGCATTCAGAGATTGCACAAGTCTAAAGGAAATGAGACTTCCGCCTTCAATCGTAGACATTCCTTTCAATTTGTTCTGGAATTGTGTAAACCTCAGAAAAGTTATCATCGCCTCAGAATTAAATTACATTGACAACAACGCGTTTTGCTATTGCAATAATCTTAAGGTTATAATTTTCTTGCAGAATATATTTGGAATTTCTCCTTACGCGTTTGCTTATTGCGAAAAACTTTCTGATATTTATTTCTGCGGAAATCAAGACGTTCTTGGAGAAATTTCTTTCTCTAATACTACTATACATGTATCGAATTCATCAGTAACAAACTTTGCAACTAATAATGTTACTTATGATGGACAAAAAGTTTGTGCAGACGCAGATATAGATATTGATGTAAAGAAGAGCAAAAATAATGTATTGTTGATCGTTATGATTGTTGTTACTTCACTTCTGTTAGTCAGTTTCATCATTCTTATCGCATTTTACATCAGATCAAGAAAGATGGTGAAATCTGACTTCACAGAGTCATTATTAAGTAACACATTAGTTTAAGTTTGCTACAATACACTTTAGCAAACTGAATTTCTTTAGTTATTTTCTTTATTTAGTAAAAATTTATAAATATTATTTATATTATTAGTTTCGGATCCTATATGCGAAATATTAACTTAAATTCTACACAATATGTGTGTCATGCAGAGATTTTTGCATTTAAAATAAGCATTTTGAATTCAAATTTAAATTATGAATTTTTTATGAGATTTGCTTGCACATTGTCTAAATTTTGGATTCAACATATGAGGGAACATCCTTATCTAGATAGACTTCTTTTTAATTCAAAGAGGAGAATCCTTGATGATATCAAAATCTTCAATTGCTAATTTAGAACAAATTTGAGCATTTTTTTTTTCAAAAAATTTGTGTTGTAGAACGCTTAATATTGATATTAAGAACACAAAAAATAAGAACAATCATTTCATTTATACTAGAGTCAAAATCTCGAGCACAAAAGTGACATTGAATACTTGTAAGTATTGAATTCCCATGTAAACTATTCATTTCTATCGTTTTTTGTAGTCCACATTTCCTCACTCTCGATTTTACTCATAAAAATATTAAAAAATCACTATACAATATATAAAATATATATTTATATGGTTAAAACAATGTTATTTTTGCGAGATTTCATCTGAAATTAAAATTGGGGATTTTTTGAATTTTAAACTAAAATTTGTGATTGGCAAATATTGAATAATCGATTGGAATATGAAAGAAATACTTTAAAATTGAATAGAATGTGCCGATAGAATTTTTCTCACAATTTTAAAAAGTTGTTCAAATCCTATTTTTGATTGAGTTTTTGCAATTGTTATATATCAAGTGACAAGCCAAAAATAAAATTTTTGTTGCACTACTATTTTTGCAACAATTTGTAAATTACGTGCATCCCTTGTATTCCAGTGATCAACATCGAGATTACATATTGTAAGAAATCCTTTTGAAGTAGATCTCTATTTGAATTCAAATTCGGACAGTCTATTTCATGTTGCTTCGTGAGAATGTATATAATTTGCAATGTGAATATTATATAATTGATTCTGTATAAATAAGTAATTATGCTTTAGGAAACTGCTCGGCATTGCATGAGATCTAATCTTATAATAATTTTTTAGATATGTTGAAATATGTAATATTTAGCTTCAATATCATTTATTATGGTGTGTCTTTGCTGTTTTTTTGATATTGGATATCAATGACTCTTCTGTGAACGAAAAAATCATATAAATCATTAAATTCTAAACGTAAGCGAAACTCATTCAATTTATTATTAGAATCAAATCTATTTTAAAATTGAGCTATTCGTTAAATCACAAAAGGATACTTTATATTTTTAGTCAAAATTTGTTGATAGGAGCTTATTGGCGCAATCTCATGTTCTTCCTGGAAGCAGCGCACAGACCAGTCAGAAGCGCTCCTTCCAGGACCAGAAAGACTAGAAGGGGGTCCTGACCTTGAGAAAGGACCCCCTTCCAGGTCTTTCTGGGACAATTCGGTTCGCATTGCGAGTGTCTGCTGCTTCTTTTGACCAAAGCAGCAGACACTCGCAATTATATGTTGCGGCAAGTGCAGGTGTCGGAATGCACTTGCCGCGAACTTCGAGCAATCTCCTGATCTTCCTGGAAGCAGCGCACAGACCAGTCAGAAGCGCTCCTTCCAGGACCAGAAAGACTAGAAGGGGGCCCTGACCTTGAGAAAGGACCCCCTTCCAGGTCTTTCTCCAAGGAACATTGTGCCATTGTGGGAGACATGCAGAGGCAATGTCTCCCAGAATGATACATTGCGACCAACACGAGTGAATGGGACACTCTATTCTTTCAATTTTCTCATTAATATTTTATCTTTTTTTATTAGATCAATAAATAAACTCTTTTAATGTTCACAATTACATAAATCCATATGAATCAATTCGCTATTTATTTAGTCTCTAATTTTAATAGCTTTTTTGAATCTTGCAATCTAAATAATTAATATATGCAGGTCATTTTATTTTTTTTCTTAATTACATTATATATAATAATAGATTATATATCCAAATCGAACAAATTGTGAATTTTTACTTTTGAATGGTATTCAAATTTACCCTCTCCTAAGAAAATGCCCCAACAATAAATGAAATCATTATGAACAATCATTTCATTTAAATGAAATCATTATGAAATATTTCTATTATTGAATAATTTTATGTTTTTATGATAAAATAATGAAATAATTAGTAATTAAAAAATATTTCATGAGATAAATATTCATTTGACATGAATAAATAGCATTACAAGCAATACAAGTGATTATGGCATACCCATTCCCTTCATGACCAATTTCAGTTGACATAAGATCCGTTGAGGGCATCTCATGTTGACCATCAATCATTCTACCATCGGTGAAGTACATACCTGAGTAATGGAATGGTTTTCCGCTGTGATATATTTGATTTTCAGTAGAATTTTCGAAAATTGCATCACAATCTTGATAACCACTTATAAAACTAGATCCTCCACTTGCGCTTCCTGCCCATGATATCCCACCGCCTCCATAGTATCCTCCTCCCCCACTTGGGCCAGAATCTTTTGCTGCGTATCCAGATCCACCAATTCCAAATTTTCCTGAGGCGCCGCAAGATTGATATACAACATCACACCCATATAAGCCACCAGATTGCTGTGTTCCTCCACTAGTTCCGTTTTTTTGAGTTTTACCAGAATCTGTAAACTTCTGATCCGTTGACAATCCAACTAATCTTCCTTCATCCCCACCACAAAGTCTTTCTCCCGATCCTGCTCCAGCGGCAACCATGATTCGACTCTTCAAAGAATTGAAATCATACCATGTAGTGTTATTTATAAGCCTAATATCGGTGGCCCCACCACCTGAGATTAGGACTTGTTGGGGAATACCATTAAATGAATTACTGTTTATTTTACCTTTTTCTCCCACGTATACAAATAAATCAATAACTTCTTTAATTTTAATTAGTCCTGTGACATACGCACCTTTTGCCTTTACTTTAGAACAACTTTCTCCTCCCATATTTGATAATATCGTTCCACTTGCACCCCATAATTGTATTTTGAATATACTAGGAAATGCATGAAATACTTGTGAAGTACCTGTGTAATCAAAAGTATATGTTACATTAAATTGTCTTTTAGTATTCAATTAGTAATCTAAAAAAAAAGATTGATGATTCTCCTTAACTTCAGTTTCACTCATATTAACCGCTTTAGTCTAACATATATGAAACCCTACATAAAACAAAATATATCCATTATTATAAATCTCAAAATAATTTCTTATGAAACTGGACATTTTAATATTGATTACCTAGAATAATTACAGGGGTAGTCATTGGTTTTAAATATATCAAATTTTCATTCCTTGAAGAGAGAAGCAGTCTAGAGAACGATGGTAAAAATGTTTCATTTGACTCAAATTAATGTCTGATCAAGACATTCGTCCAAATAAATACAGTGAATTGAGAATGACCTACAAGTGCTATATTGATTGGTGTAATTACTTCTATGAAGGAAATCACCTTCCACACATGTATGTTCTGTTTGGGGAATTTTTTTAAGATGACCTGCATTCTGTCAAATGAGAAATTTCAAAGTTTTGCAAAAATAGGCAGTATAGACAGAGTCAGGTGTATTTTTTGAATTTTCGGATTTTGACAATTTTTGTAATTTGATGTAAGAAAAACCGATAAACGTTTACATAACTGAATTTTTTCTCTCCTTGAAAAAAATAATAAAAAAAGATGTCTGTTCCAACACCAGAACAAATACAGAAATTTACACGTGCATTCAACGAATACGATGATGACAGAGATGGCTATATCGAGACATCAATGGTTGAGCGCGCTATTCGCTCTATGGGACTTAATCCAACACGTCAGGAGATGAACGACATCATGTCAGATATTTCTAGCTCAAATAAACTTTCACTCAACGGATTCGTATACATTTGCCATCATATTGGCTGCTTTGCTAACACAGAAAAGCAACTTATCAAAGCTTTCCAACTATTCGATAGAGATGGCACAGGAATGATCAAGAAAGATGTTGCAAGAGATGTTCTTACAAAACTTGATAGACCTCTTAATGATGCACAGCTTGAAAAATTATTCAGTGCTCTCAAGGTTGACAACGGCTTTGTTGACATCAAAGAACTTGCTAAGACATTATTATCTCAATAAAGTCTTGTGAGGTTCGATATTTGTATTCCAGTAAAACGATATTTTTATACTTTATTTCCTTAAATTCTTTTTAAATCCCCGCTATCTGAAACATTACAGTAAGAAATATACTACATTAAAATATTTGCTAAAACATCAAGAGTTGATTATTATTTTTTTCAATTCGATCAAATAAGATCATTTATCATTATGAAATCATCAATCAATACTCCAAATATGTTGATTAAACACATTATGTCATCATTTTACTTTGAAGATTGAAATTCCATTCATCCAATGGAAAGGCTTGTTCAGCTCAAGCAACGTCTTGAGAAAATCAATGAAGCCAGAAGACTAAACAAGTTATTAAGAGAGAAAAAACTTGTCAGAATTCAAGAAATTAATACGTTATTAGATGTTTATAATCCATCTAAAGCAAATTCTCAATCTCAAGGCGTTACTACAACACATATTAAGATAGCTGGACTCTCTGATGATGATATTTCCTATTTAATTCGATCATTTTGGGGAAGACCATTCCAAAACGGGGCTCAAATTGATAATGCTAATGCAGAAGAAAATCAAAATGAAATACAGAATGTTTTCAGGCAATTTACCCCTGAAGAAAAGAGATTAATTTGTATCAATTCTCATCTTTCACCAATTCAAAAGCTTTCGATCGTACAGAATATAAACCCCAATCATACGTTATCTTCAGTTATGAAAGCAGACTTTTTACCAATAAATTTACCTTTATCATTTTATGATAAAGTTAGAATATTAATATTTAGTCTTGCATACGGACCAAATGTTTCTGTAGATACATTCTTTCCAAATCTCGGTTCAAGACGTGTATTAACATTTATTAATTCTTTGAAATCACTCAAAGAACCTAATCTAAGCCAAGAAGCATCTGAGGGAATCATAACAGCATTAAATGAAGCAATTCAATACTATCAAAATGATGTTTCTTAATTTTTGCATCAAATTTCAAATCATTATCTCCAAATGATTCTAATTCCGCATTTATGACTCAAAATTATCAAATCCGTGTTGTAGAACCTTGAATTATAGTTTAAACTATTGATTTTAATTCAAATTAAAAATTTTTATATTTAAATTCACAAATGTAAAGTAAATACCACTAAGGATCATACAACACTCTTGAGTGGTAATGTAAACTTTGTGATAAAGTTAATTTTTATTATCAAAATATAATAATATGCATGATATGTATGGATTTTTAGAATAAATTTTGTAGAAATTGTCAACAAACCAGTTTTTGATAACAATTATGTTGTAATTTTTGAGTTATCCTTTCATTTTCTTGCAGGACAATTTTGATTCCTAAAAGAATAACAAGAATTATTTAGATAGAACGCAAGTATATGATGTAATTGTGCGAATGGTAACAAAATTGACCGTTTTAAATCATGCTGTCTGGAGAGAGCACGAAAATAAATGAAAAAGATCTGTCACTTTTCAATGATTTTAGAATTTTGGCTTTAATTTGAATTACTCTGTCCAATCATAAAATCTATCATGAAGCGCCGGAATACGAAAGAGGAGGACGAAGAGATCGATTCCGATGAGATTGTAGACTTTAATCCCTCCGATACCGGCGAAAAAGATGAACAAGATAACTTTTTCACTGAAACACCAGATGAAAAACGTATAAGAAAGGCAAAAGAGCATCTCGAATTCATCAAGAGACAAAATGCGGATAATGATGACGAAGCAGAGAAAGTTCTACGTGCAGATTACGAAGAACAATCGGGAACAAGATTCGACGACATCAAACTTCAATTAAGTACAAAAAGTCCAGAGCCAATTAGATACCGCGCTCATAGAGTTGCGCCAACATGTTTCTGTTTTGGTCCTGGCTGCATATTTAGTGGATCAAAAGATGCAACTGTTGTAAAGATAGAATATGACTTAGCAAATCCAAGTTTCAGGAAGCATGAAACCGTCGCGCTTGCTCAAGCACCTGTCAATTCAATCGATTATAATTTTTCACGAAAGATTTTAGCTGTTGGCTCAGCGGATGGACTAGTTACTTTATACGATATGGAAGGTGATGAAACACCGATTACATTAAAAGGCCATAGGAAGTCTGTGACCGGTGTAGTTTTTAATCAGAAAGGAGTTGAAGTTTTCTCATGTTCAGAAGACCTTAATGTTAGAGTATGGGATAGTACAAACGGAAATATCCTGATGACGCTCTTCGGCCATCAGTCTTCCGTTCTCGGATTAGATTTTTGCAATGTACTTGTTTCTTGCGGCGCAGATAGATCAGTTAGACTTTGGAAATACCAAGAAGAGAAACAATTATTGTTCCTCTCCAAAAAGTGTCTCCAGTCCATTGAATGTATTTCTATGTTCAATAATACGATGTGCATCTCCGGATCATCTGATGAGCAGCTATGTCTATGGGATTTAACAAGAAAGAACCCACAGTACATTATAGAGCACGCTCACGGAGTTGGAAATCCAATTTCCGCAGTTGCAGCTCTCAGATTCAGAAAACTGTTCGCAAGTGGCAGCTGCGACGGATATATTCGTTTCTGGGAGATTAAAGATAGAAAGATTGTTCCGTTGTTCAACGTAAAATTGGAGGGATATGTTGTTGACATGAAATTCTCCGAACGCGGTGATTTCCTCGCAGTACAGATCTCTTACGAGGAAAGACTTGGTCGTTGGCACCCAACAATTAAAACAAAACAAGGTGTTTATATAATTAAGCTTGAAGCTGTCAAAATATAATATAAATAGAACATTATTTTTATACATATTATGTACATGACCTTAATTTTTTTTATCGTTTTATCTTTTTTTGGAAATTATATAATCGGAAAAAAAATCCTAAGCTTTTTAGTTCTTGATTTTGCGTTATTTATTATTAGCACACTCTATATGAAAATTTCTTAGATTCCACTAAGAGATTTTCTGAAATGTTGAAAATTATCAACAATTCTCCTAAATTGATATGATAATACTAAATTTTGAATCAAATTACTGATAAACTATTCATGTCATGCAGTCATCATGCGCCTTTCCTTTTAAAATATATATTATTCTATAGACAATTGATCTTTTTACCAAAAACATCGATCAAACATACGAATTCTTCAAATGTGGAATTAACATTCGCTGGTAAATATCATCACTTTAAAGTGATTTCAATTTTAACATGTTATCTCAATTGCATTTTTATTCCATTATAGACTCATAATTAATCATTAAAATCACTTAACAGGTACTAACTAAAGTAAAACATATCAATGATATCATTTTCTAAACATATTTATATTTTTTTTTCTCCAATTCATAGATCTTACCTAATATTGATGATTCAATATAATATAATATTCAACATGTAAACAAATTCAATGTTAAATCATTGATATTGCTCTATTTTGATAAAATATCGATAAAAATCCGATAATATTGTTTTTATTAGATAACAATCTATGATTATATACATATACACATATCATACTAATTTCTTGCGGAAATACTAAATTTCTTATTAATAATTTATATTGATTTTTATTACATATCAATATTTTATCAATTGCTTAGTATGACTATCATTATAGTGATTTTTAATGATATAAGCAACATTAGCTGACTTGGAAGATTTGCATGACAACGAATTAGCAATTGAAACAATTTGAGAACTTCTTCATAAAAAGTCACTTTTGAATTCACTCGTTGTATCTTATTTTTCTAAAATGTATCGGAAAAATACTGTTTAATAGTCACTCGGTGTAATGAATAAAAACCGTCAATAACAAAAAAATTCAGAACCTTCGATCTGACTTTTTTCTAAAAATATCACTAATATGATTGTATTGATCATCACAAAGATATTTTCCTCATCCATAACGATCTTTTTGAATTATGAAATATGGATAAAATCATTTCACAGTGAATCTGAAATATTGCACTATATCTCTATCTCTTTAACATTAAACCAAAATCATAATTAACGATATCTTGTAGATGTCTTTGCCAACGGCGTTTAAAAATTTTTTTCAAACATCGTGAAACGAAATGTTAATCATTATTTAGTGAGAATATAGTAATTTTGTAAACCGCTTCCATCATTCAATTTCCCTGCCATCATAAATAGCATCATTGTCAATATAATCCTTATCAGACGCTTTGTCCTCTTTTAGTTATATTGTAAAATCGTTTGAAAAATTTCTGAGCACATTCAATTTTTTTGAAATCAATGATTTTCATTATTTCTAAATGTTTTGGATCTTTGCATCCAAATCAGCATCATCTGATTTATCTAATTGTACCGAAATAAAATTTGGCGCGTTTAACCTTCCATCTAATTACAACAATTTTACAATTCAGCAAAATGAATTGATTTGCATTCAAGGTGATTATATTTTTAGTTCAGATAAGAAATTTAAAGCGCGTACTCTACTAAAAGGTGGCTTGGGAGCTAAATCGAAAATTACAGATTGGATAGAAAATCCTGTTGCTGTTGCTGGTACCTGCCATACAGATGCAAGATCTGGTTTATGCACCGAGCCATTTACAGAAATCATGTGCCTCGAAGATGTATGCGATTTTAATGCAATTTGGATTCCTCGAAAACCAACAAATTATTCAGTTAAAGGAAGTTTTAATGGAGTTGAAGGATGGGATACAACTCATCTTGTAGCTGTAACAATTAGTACAAAAACACAAGGAGAAATGAAATTATATACTTATCAAAGTATTGAAAATCATACAGATGGTCACATGACAGGAATCGCTTTTAGCCATATTGGATTCATTGTACAGGATGGAAAGCCTACAGCCAAAGATAAACCATCATCAAAGGTCAAATCATCTTCCTATGGTGATGGCGCCAATGATATCTCAGTCGGACCAGATCCGGTCTCAGCTATTGACAATGATGACAAGTATTGTGAGATTGAATATTCTAAAGGAGGTCCAGGTAAATATAAGCTATACTTGCAAGAATTCCAATTTACTCTTAATCCAGAAGGTGGATTGTACACAAAAGACTCCCCAAGCTATGAATTTACTACATATAAAGCTCCATTTCATGCCTACTGCGTAGGTTGCATGCCATGCTGCGTATTGTCCAAAGCAGATAAAGATGCAGAACCTGAGGTCTAAAAATATTTTTTTTCATAAGTTTTATAATTTTTTTTTCTCGATATTTCCCCAAGCTCTCCATGTAACAATCTTTAACTTAAAGATCCGATTTTTAAAACATGTTGTTCCAATAGTGGTTATGATGAAAACAATAGGGTCCAAGGCATATGTGTTATCAGCAAAACTAATGCTATTTTCAAATAGTTTGAAAGGCTTGACTCTTTCGTGAAGTTTTGACGTTTCGTTTTGATGAAGATAGACTTGGAAATAATCAGTTTTGAAGAGGATCCAAGTTTTCCTATTGACACTTATGTCCGTTTGAGCTTGATTTTCTCACAGATCTTATTGGTTTCTAAGTTTGTAAAAGTTTTTGGTTATTTTTGATGCGATACATATGATATTGTTTCATGAACAAATCAAAAATCAGCAGATTTCCAGTGGTTTCTTTGCACTCAATGAATATATTCATTTTGGGCAAGATGAAATAATCGAAATGGAAACTTCTCGAATTAGCCGTTTCCATTGAAGCGAATTCTTGTCAATAGCATACAGTATAGTTAATGGATAAAATTGTTATCTTTTGCTTCTAGAAAGCTCTTCTCCAAAGCCTCGGATAATTTGTCACTTTTAGATTTTTTTAAGTAGTTTATTCTCCTTTCAGGACTTATTGGCATTGCTGCTCTTACTGTTCTCTACATTATTATCATTAAATCCCTTGTTGGCTTCCAAATAGACTGTATTAATCCACTAGATATCTGCAGCACCTTAGATAAATTTTTAAATCCAATTAAATACGTCCTCATATTTGTTGCATTAACATCATTAGGATGGGTCAAAGCTGCTTTTCCAATTTTAATATATCATTTCTTAATTGCATTCCAACTTTATTATACAATAAGAATTTGCAGATATTCCGAACCACCAACAATCGCTCGCGACTCAGATAGCAAAAGAACAAGTTATTTGCAATTTTAGTAGGAGTTGTGAGATCTTTTTATTATTCAATGGTCATAATCCCTTTAAATCTTTTCGGCTAATCTAAATATAGTCTCAAACGCATTTTACTCTCATTCTAAAATGCATTTCAAAATTTTTAATATTACAAACTCTTATTTATAAGTTAGAGTCATTGTTTGTGTGCGAGTAAACATTTCTGTTAATTTATAAGCATTTTCATCAATTTTATACATAAATTTGAATACATTTTTAATGGTTGACATATATTTTAAGTCAAAACTATAATTGTATATAACATACACATAGTTTAAACGAATGTTGGTCCATGCATTGAGGTTTGAGTTCATTTTCTTTTGAAAATCATTGGATGGATGATCTCCTGAAAAAGAAGGGAGTAACTGTCGAAGAATTACTGCATCATCAAGATCTCCAATATGAATATCGAATGAAAAATCCTAAATTACTACAAATAATTATGAAACAAGAAAGTTTATTATATATTATTAATACATTTCAGACATCAATGAATAAAGTCGTATTGAAACGCATTCTTGGTCTCTGTGTTTCTCCAAATCAGATGATTGTTCAAGAAATTGGCCAAGATTCAGAACTTACACACGCATTTCTTGCTGTTTTACAAAATCCACTTAATTACCATCGATTTATTCTCAGTTCTATATGCAATATTTACATCAAAATCATAGAATTAACAACAGATAACGTTTTCAAAATTTTCTCAGTTTCAAAAACATTATTCCCCACAATAATACAACAATTACATATACCAGCAGTATTCCAGCTAGCTGCTAAACTATGTCTTTACTCTACTCGTTCTGAACCAATGATTTGGACAATTTTAAAAGCTCTTTTAGGGAATCATGGGCTAGGAACAAATCTACCGAAAAGAGTTACCAGCTTAGATATGCTCTCTGGTGGTCCAATACCAATATACCAAGAGCAAAGAATAAGATTAATCGAATTATTAATTATCTTCTTTACGCAATCGAACGGAACCACACCAGTTGGTGTTGATGAGCTTTATATAGCTACAAGCGATTGCCTTCCTCTACTTTTAATGGATGCTTCCACTGATTTAGAAAGATCATTAGTTTTTCGTATTGGATTATTATTGCAACCATCATCAGCGTTAGGCTATAGTGCTGTATCCGTGATAAACAGCTTTGTTAGCACTGATACACTCATAGTTTCCGCTATAGAATACATTAATTCATTTGATGTGTTTGTTGGACCACGATCCATTGAATTATATCTGTACAGACTTCTTCATAGGACACATAAGAACAACTTCCTTCTCCTTGCCAGTATCAGAATGATCACAAAATGTGTTTTGATGCAAAGAAACAATTCAGAGCTTCTAAAAAATCTGAAAGGTCTTATTTTGAGGTGTTACAAGACAGAGAAGCTTTCTTTACTTGTCAGAGCGTTCAAAGGTCCATTGTTATCTGCTGCAGAAGGTGTAGAAATCGATCCAATCTCCAAAAAATGTAGTGATGACATTTTGAATGCTTTACAAATGAACAATGAAACAGATCCAGACATAGAAGACAGAGTAAAAGAGTACAGAGCCAAAGCAAGAGCTATTGATGAAGGGAGATCAAGTATCATGCTGATTTACAATGCAAAAACACTGTGGAGAGAAGATGCCAAGAAAATGTCAGAAAAATATTTGTCAATTGAAAAAATTCAATGGCAAAAGATGCCTCAAGACATTATACCTCCTTCACCTGGCGCCAGATCACAAAACGCTATGAGTCATCGTAAATCATATGATAGTTCCGATGAATTCTTCCTTGAAGAAATTGATGTCACAGAAACTTATCCTTTCGATAAATTCGAGTTCAGAGAAGTCCAACAGGCTCAGAACTCCCCGCAAAAGCAGTTACCTCCTATAACAGCACAGGAAGCAACTAAGGAACCATTACCTTCATCACCAATCAAAATAGAAGAACCAATGATTCCAAAAGCTTCAAAAGTCAGAACTCCAAGACAGAAAAAGTCTATCTTCGCGGAACCTGTTGTAGATGATATTACACTGGATGTACCTCCAAGGCCACCTACTATCAAGTTAAATGATGAAGATGATGATTCTATGAGTAATGAAGAATTATTAGAATTAATTCAGAAACAAATGAAGGGAATTCAAAAGGCTAAGGAGGTAATTGTATTAAGTATAGGAAAACCTGTTGATTTTTCTTTTAATTTATGATTTTTTTTTCATGATTTTTTTCAACACATCGGCTTTTTTGAAAAAAGCAGTTGTATTGATCATATAACTTCAAATAAATGTATTTTTAGCTTTACTCTAATTTTTTTTACATTATTTTGTGTGAATTTCTTTAATATCAGTAATTCTGAGAAGTTTGGAATGATTGCATTATTACATTTATATAGAAATGGAAAATACATTGAAATTCGGATTTATTATTCAGGATTTTTTGAAAAAGGAATAATGGAAATACATTTAATTGATTATCCTTAGACTTATTATATTAAAAGCTCACATAATAGTTATTTATTCATGTATCAGTGAAAATAAAGAAAGAGAGAAAGAAATATTGGTAATTATAGTAAGGTACTTGACAGGATTGGAGGAAAGAGAGAAAATCACTCAGAATAGTGATTTGACATGCTCCATCATAAAAGTTGAGGTTTTGTGGTTTCGGGATTTCAGGGTCTCCACCATTAAGCATGACAGTATCAGTAAATTGATATCCAGAATAGTGTATTGGCTGATTTGTGTGCAATATATTATCAAAACCAGAGGATGATTCACTTATCGCGTTACAATCTTTCATCCCTGAAACGAAAGAAGATCCACCTGCACGACAACTAACAACACAATTCGAGCTCGCTCCACAACCACCTCCATAATATCCAGCGCCGCCTGGAGATTTTAAATAATTCTGATTTGAATATCCACCAATTCCGAATTTTCCTGTTCTCAAAGTATAAATAGCATCAACACCACTTTGAGTTTGTTCTCCTCCGGTTGGGATTGTATTATAACACCTTCTTTGCGTCTGATTTTCACAGTCATTCACTAAGCAAGGAGAATTTATTGTAAAAACACCATCTTCACCTTTAATGCCACCACCACTACCTGTGATAGTGCCACCTTGATGATCGGCACAGCCGCCTCCAGCACCGGCTACCATAATTCGACTTTTAAGACTTTCAAAGGAATTCCAATTACCAGGAACGAGCCTAATATCCGAAGCACCTCCACCACTCGTAATTGAGTAGTAGGATAGACCTGGAGTGCCTCCGTTAAAGGTTAAGTTTGTAGAAGTGGTTCCTCGCTGGCCAAGATAAATATAGAAAACAGATGGAGTTGAGATAGAGATCGTCCCTCGAACATATGCACCGTAGCTTCCATATGAATGCTCTGGGAAGCCACTGCCTGCGCCCCATAATTCTATCTTATATTCACCAGGAGTGAAGAGGCCCATATATGGAGTACAGTCTGACCCTTGGCATGGGTCTTTGAAGATTGCTCTTCGGCCGCCATAGTAGTAAGTGATGCTATTTGTGCCGAGAGACTTGTTAACAACATGGAAAAGGTGTTTAGTATTCTTTCCATATGTAGACATATCGCTTCTATTTCATTATAAAAAATGACACTTTTGTATAAGTTGTAGCTCACAAGAAATTAATCAAAAATGCATATTTTATGGGTTAGAGAAGTTATGAACAAAAATCAATTAAATTTTTGACGATCTCAAATATCATTAGTTAGATTCTACACATAGCAAATATATGATTTCTTTCTTATACATCCAATAACTCAAAAAGATTTAAAATATGGCTTTGATTTGCTTAAAAAGCAGCCTATCTGAGCCAGAAATTCAGCATATGTTTACTACAGAAATACATATGCTTTAAAGTAACAAATAGATTCTAAATTTCTTTCAATAAATATAATGAAAACTCATGTTCTTTTATAAACCACACTTAATAACATATAGACTGATAATAGTATAACATAAAACACTAAAAATAAAAGTTGAGTTTTTTTTGCAAAAAAGTGACATAATGCAGCAGCAAGAAAAGGAAAAGAACCAATTCAATACCCAAATGAATGAACTCGTTCATGCATTTGATAACCTAAAACAGACAACAACTAATACTATCATTGCTATTACAAATTCAGAACTTAAAATAACGGATGAAGAGACTCCAGAGAAATTAAAGGCCAAACAAGCACTTGACACAGATGTCGAGAATCTCCACCTTGCAGTTTCTAATTTCTTTGGCGATTGTGATAAGCAAAAACAAAAAATTGAAGCAATTATCGCAACAAATGTAGATTTCTCGGAATTTAACTCAATCGCAGATCAACTTATGACATTATAGAATAATTCCAAATCGTCTTACATTTTGTAAAGCATTGTTTTGTTTTTTTAAAATTGTATATTTTTTTTAATAGTTGATTTTCAAGTGAAACATAGATAAAATAGTTTACTTTTATTTAAATAATGAATTTTATTAATATTTACAATCATAAAATAAAAAAAAGAAATAAAAATTATTTTTTTCGGGGAAGGGTATTCATTTTTATCTGAAACCTTCCTTTGGCTTAAACTGCTCAAGGTCAATAGAGAGAGGTGGCTCATTAATTTTGAGATCCTGAAGAGCCATCTCCACGACATCTCCAGAAATGACAACTCTGACCAAAGGTCCTTCTTTGTTATCAGTCTGTGAGAGGTGTTTCAAAGTTTTGATCGCCAAGAGCATAATCTTAAGTAACTCCGCGATCAAAGTTATATCAACTTTTCTAAAGAGTCCAGCAATTTCCAAAAGTCCATCCTTGAGTTTCCTCTTCTTGTTGATAATTGTTTCGACCGCTATTTCGAAAACTCTCTCTGCACCGGCCATTGTATAATCCGTCAAACCGATTTCGAGAGGAATTTTTCTACCTTTGTCGCAAACTTGTGTCATAACTCTTACAACTTCAAGTCTTTGCGAGAGAATGCACAAAGAAGAGAACATTGCAGCCTGTGAATATGTTAGCATCATTGGAATATCATCAGGAACTCTCAACAAACCGATCATTTTATTTACAGTTTGTTTCCATTTTTCGATTTCTTCTGGTTGAGGAGGTTTGGGATCTTCTGTCTTCTGTATGAAGAACTTGTCGAAGATTGTTGTTATCATGGCGATATTATCTCTCTTGAATGGCAAAGGAGGTCTCACATCTTTGTACATCGAGTAATCGTTGATGTGTTTTGGAGTTTTCTGGAAATGAGCTCTTGATGTTGGGAAATACAACTCCAAAGTTCTCGACCATTTTGGTTTCAACAAGAGTCTTGATATTTGAAGATTGGCACCTCTCATGTTCAAGAAATGAACGATCTTCTCATAAAGAACTCCTTTTTTATCGTAATCCAATAATTTAAGGAACAAACAACCGCTTTTTCCGAACAAAACTTTCATTTCATCACTCAAATCAGGAGCTGTCCAGATGTAATCGCTGCCGTATTCCAAGAGATGCCTTCTGCAACACTCGTTCCTTGCAATCTCAACATCGTGAGCCGCATGGTAGTCTTCAACGGCTTCAAGATTGTTCGAAACTTGCTGAATAATGTGTGGTTTTTCGGATCCGGATGTTCTTTGTTCGACAGCAACGTAATAAAGGTTTAAAAGGCTTTTGGCGAGAGGATCAACACCTTTACAACTTGGTGCACCAATCGGATACCTCTTCTTCGTGTAACTGTGAACAGTTTGGTCTTTAATGAAGCGACCATTCGACAAACCGTTCGAAATGTAACTGAAAACACGGGGAGCGTTATCAAATATACGGTGATCGAGGCCTTGGACGAGAGCTTTGTGTTCTTCTTCAGTAATCTTGTTCAATCGGGCACAAGCTCCGATGACGTCGAGTGGTCGACAGAAATTTTCGGTTTTTGAGCAAAATTCTTCAACGCAATTTGTTGGGCCGTTGATGACGTATTGTACAATGTCGACTCCTGGATTCTGACGACCGATGCCGGAAATTTTTACCGGAATTCTGAAGTTTAATAATTTCTCTTTGGACAAGACGCCGCGCTTAGCGGTATTATCTTTCAAAGATATCTCTTTGTTGTTTATGATTCTCAAATAATTTAAACCTGGACAGCCCGTCTTAATAATCTGTTCTAATTTATTTTTCAGTGGAGAATCGCCAACTGACTTTAAACTGTCCACAAATTCTTCTTTAGTAAAACTCGAGGGTTCTTTACCTAAATTTTCATGGTTTGAAAGGATCGATTTCATTTGTGAATTTAATTGTGTTGTTTCTGTGTTTGCACTGCTCTCTTTGCGTGTTTTGGTCTGAGTTTCTGGTTTTGAAGGTTGGTTTGTTGTTTCAGTTGTTTCTTTTTTAGGTTTTTCTTCCATTTCTTGAGTGGCTTCGTTACTTTCATTGCCTTCGGACTGAAAAGAATTCTTTTTGTCTTTGCTACTCCGTTTGCGTGAAGATGTCTTTTCTGGATTGGGGCTATTTTTCTTTTCTGAATTCGAATTATTAGATTCTTTTGCCGCTTGTTGATTTTCTGTCTGACTTTGTGTTTCTTGTGCCGGTGGGTTATTGTTTTCGTTATTATTGGCTTCAGGTTCAGATGATGGTTTCATAGATTTTCAAAAAACAAAGTGACAAAAAAAATTTGTTTTTTACATTGGATCCAAGGGAAAATAAAATTTTATGATTTTCGGATCAATTTGTTCCTTTCTAGGAATATTATCTGAAATCACAATAAAATTTAATGAATTGTGATCGATATTTCTTTTCTTTTCTACAAAATCTTGAGTTAGCGTTTCAATTTCACCTGCACTACCTCAAAATCATATAATTAGTTTCAAATTTTAAACGTTTGTTCTCTCGCTTCAACAAAATTTTGAGATATATGTATCAGATTTGAAAAATATGGATTTGCAAATGCAGTAATCGAATTTTATAATAAATATAAACTTTATCCTTTATTTCCTCTATTGTTCTGCTTTATTTGTTTTGTTTGTTTTTGGATCTTCATCTGGGATAGCAACACCATTAGCATCAAACTGTGCTATGAATGATGGCCACTCGTATTTGATTCCAGCTGCTTCTAATGCAGCTTTAATCTTCTTCTCCTGGCGGGCCAATTTCAATGCGAATTCTTTCTTAGGTAATTGATCGTGGTTGATCTTCTTAGGTCTAGTACGTGCGTTTGTAAAGAGTTTTGGTGGAACTTGAGCTGCTGGGAGATATTTTGCTTCTAATTTCTTGTCAAAAATGAGATAATTGTTAAAAGACTTTGCAACGATCTTAGCTGTTTCTGGATTATCAAATTCAGCCCAACCATAATGCTTTGAATTTCCAGTTTTTGTCGAACGAGCTAATTGAACATTTTTAACTGTTCCAAATTCTCCAAGTGCTTTCTTCATTTCCTTCTCTTCAAAACCATCTGGTAAATGTGCAATATAAACAACACAGCTAGTCTCTTGCTCAGTCATAAATCTCTAAAATCTCGACAACCGCAAATTTAATTCAATTTTGAAATGTCCTTTTCACAAATCTTCATGCAACTAGCACTCTGCATAATGACATAAATTTCTAGATTCGCTATACAATATATATCAAAGATAAAGTATTATGGATACTGAATTTATATGATTCAAGAAATTCAATATCAAATTTATTAGAAAAACAAGCCATTTATGAGTAATAGCATTTGACGTAGAAAGGACTTGATGTTTTTGGTAGTCTTATTCTCAAATGATACAAAATGAATTAGCTTTCACAAAGAGATGGGGAAATTAAAAAATGATTAGAAATTACAATGCACATATTTAACTTATCCAACAACAAATTTAATATGTTGTTCAAATAGTAAAAATATAATTAATTTAGATTTTTTATAAATATTTCCATGTCTTATTATATTGATTTTATGACAATGAAATTATGTTTGCTATATCATTGAAAGCCCAACAATGGGTTATCACTTTTAAAAGGGCATTTAATAATTCTAATCAAATCATTGCTTTTTTTAGACTTGATACAGTTGATCTATTAAACATATCTAACATTAGCCTGAATTATTGACTGATCAAACCGAACTGTGAAAAATCCAGTTAAATCAGCGAATATGCCTTGGAATATCTACTATTAGTTTACACAATTAAAGAACAATGCAAAGATTCCCTGTAACGGCAGGCCTCACATAAGTGATCCCCAAAAAATGATCTCATTTGATCCCCAATGTCAGAAAAATCAAATAGTGATCCCCGATTTCAATTTTTTTAAAACAAAAATGACTACCAAGATATGCACTCATTTAATTTTTTGTCTGGTCAGACTGACCTTATTTCCTTGAATTTTTTTGAATGGACATTCAAATTTAATAATATCAATCAATTTCATAAAAATGGATTACCAATCCTTAACTTCGATTGAGAGTACAAACCAAGATGAATTTGTTGAAAATAAGGGACAAACACTTGAGTACATGAAGTTCTTTCCAACATTCATGAATATTCTCAATACATTAACTGGTGCAGAAGTTTTGAGTGTCAGTAATTCAATGACACTTATCGGATTTGTTTACTCGATTATTCTCATGGTATTCACAACAATATTATCTTACTTGGGAACTATTGTTGTTCTTAAAATCAGAGCCAAAGTTGATGCAGAAAGTATTAACGAATTAGCGACCAAAATTTGCGGAAACTGGGGTGGATATGTATACTCAATCTTAACCCTTTGCTTTACATACAGTTGCCAAATTGCTTATTTGTTCATTGGTGCTGAATCTGTTCTGAACTGGGCAGATCTCATTGGAATGCATTCTTGGCAACATGGCATTAAAAGATCACTTGTTGTAATGATCTATGCTATCTGTCTTCCAGTTTTACTTACATTTCCAAAAGAATTGAAGATTTTGAGTATTGTTTCAACATCTGCAATTCTTTGCCAGGTACTCTATGTTAGTGGAATGATTTACGAAGCTATTAGATACATTCCTTCCCAAGGAATTAATCCAACATGCGAAAGATTCAAATTTGGCCTTGAATTCTTCAATGCTTTCGCCATTTACTCAATGCTCTATGCCTTCCCATCTGTTTTCTTACCACTTGTAAGAAATTATAATCCAGATATCAGATCGAGATACAGATTAATTGGAGCATCATTTGTTGGATGCTTTACATTGACAATTATTCCTGGCGTTATTGGTTATTTGATTTTTGGCGTTGATACCAATCAAATCGTCATTTCTTCTTTTGATTCTCATGATATCTTTATGCAAATTGTCAGAGTAGGTTTCTTCATTGTCGTTAATGCCTCATTTGCTGTTAATGGCATCAATGTCATCCAAGATATATGTAGTTTGGTATTCAAAGAGCAGAATCCTGCCAAATTAGCTTTTGTCAAGAGAGTTGCAGTTCTTTTAATAACCAACGTTCCTCCTGTTCTTATTTCAATGTTCCTTCCAGAAATTAGACCAGTTTTCGAAGTTGGTGGCGCCTTCGGAGGATGTCTCTCTAATTTCTTCGTTCCTCCTCTTCTATATATCATTCTTCACAAGAAGAATGGCTGGTCATTTACAAATATTTTAATGGGATTATTCTCACTGTTTGGCCTTATTTCAGCTGGTATTGCAACATACCAGGCTGTTATTGATGCAATGGATCCAAACAATTAACATAATATAGTGTTTTATATAGAATTTTATAGTAAAATTAGAGTTCTTTTATTAATCTTGTTCTCATATTTAACTCATCAAGATAATGATTCATGTATTTTGTGCTTTATTAATAATCAAACAATATTGGATTATATCGATATTCATTTCTAATCCAATGATTTTTAAAATGTGATTATTATGCGAAATCTCTCAATGGAACTACTCTTTGGCTCTATGCCGAAATAATTACCAAATGATTCCCTATTATACTTTCTGATTTGCAATTGAGGGTGAGCATTAAACATCTCCAATGTTTACAAAATGCTTAGCGAAAATTTAATATTCATAATCGATCGGACAATCGAAATAGAAAGAGTCACAACATGTGAATGAAGCATCATATTGATTGGATCATTATCTACTTTGTGAAATTCTATTGTGGCGAAAATTGTTCTAAGATATTGAGAGAATTATTACTCCGAATTGTTTTTGAAACTTGACACGTGTTTTCTAAAGCATCAAGGGATTGAGTAGAATATTTAGTTATTGTTCTAGGAAAATTTCAAAACCCATATATTGGCAAATCTCGATTCGAAAAATAATTTTGAATCATTTTTCCCGAATGTTAATGTATTAAGGAATATAAAAACAATTCATCAATCTAGATTTAAAGCTATATATGTGAGTGTCATGCAAATTGCTTTAAAATTATAGCATATTTATTTGAGATCTTGCAGTGTCGCATTGAAATTATAGTAAATATATATACCCACATGGTCATTACATGGCATGGCTTATGAAAAAGTAATCTATTTAAAAGATTTGTTTATATTTTTATTCAAACCTCAACACATAAAATGAAATCCGAATGAGCATCCAATTGTATACTATTTGAGTATATAAAATTTGTTGGCGCGAAATTATATTATTGAAATCAAAATGAGGCATAAATCTTTATATTGACGATGTGAAACATGCTAAATTCAATGCTTGCACATACTTATGTTCATTTGGTCAGATCTATTAGCTCTGATATTCCTTTTCATTCGATAATTGCAAACATTTATGGAAATCGGACAAAATCACTTAAAGATGGGTTGTGTAGATAGTAAATAATCATATTTTCAAGAAAACAATATTGGTAATTTTTGGCGCCAAAAATGAAATTTAAGTTCTCAATTTGAGATCTCAGATTTTAAAATGTCGAGCAAAGCATCTCCAAAGAGGAGTAAGAAACCACGCGTAGAAGATATCGATCCAGATTTGCTTCCACCAGAGATGACACACGTTGGACCTCATGATCCTGTTACAAATTACTTTACTGATGATGATCCAAAGTCTGTTTTAGAAAAATTCGCTGATTTTTACGAAAAGAGACCAAAGATTGCAGTTAGAGAGCTCGTAAACGCAATTGTCTTTATTGCCGGCTCTAAGTATGAAATAACTGAAACCCAATTTCTCAAGTCTCAATACGAAATAGTTATGGATGAGATCGAAAAGACACTCCAAGACAACAACGAAGAGAGTGAAGTCTCTAAAACCCTTACAAATTCATCCTCAAAATCTCATGATTTTTGGATTGACCTTGGTAATGCTTTAATTGTATGCAAAGGTCTCTTTAAAGACGAATTTGATACATTCAAATCATGGTGCTTTAACTTCTGTGACTCAAAAATCAGAGTTCTTCGTCAATCAGCTACAGTTGCTGTTTTAGCACTTACAGAGTTCCTTGCTGACAGCATGAGGAATGCAGATAGCAGTATAGAAAAGCTCGAAAAGGAATCAAACAAGTCTGCAGTAAAGAAGAGACAATTAAAAGATTTCCAAGATGAAAAGAGCTCTGCTAAAGCACTCATCATGGAATTCTTTACAACAGTCATCAAGACTCGTATACGCGATACTAACAATGAGCTTAGAATCCTTTGCACAAAAGTTATTTACGATTTATCTTCAATTGTTCCAGAATTCAGAGATGACAACTTCATGAAATACATCGGCACAAGCTTGCAAGATGATAATGCCCGTGTTAAGAAGGAAGGCCTTAAACTTGCTAAAAATTTACTTGAAAAATGTGATGATGAGGATGAAATAAAGAAGATTACGCCATTCTTCAAGAGAAACATCGGCAGCATCATTAGCCTATGCGATGATAACGATAATGGCTTAGTTATTCCAGCATTTGAATTATTAACTCAATTATCAAACAAGAAAATGCTCAGAGATGCTGAAAAGGCCGATGTTGTCTTCAAGATTACAGCAGATGATAGTGCAAACGTTAGAAATGCTGCCGCAAAGTTCTTTTCTCAAATTCACTTTGCAGTTCCAAAGAAGAAAGGAAGTGCAAACCAAGAACTCTTTGAAGGACACATTCGTAAGTTTGCAGAGCTTTGCTCCGACTTTTCTGTTCATGCAATTCAAAATTCTGTTGAAGCCTTCTTTAAGACGATGAAAGCTCTTCAGGAGTTTGAGCTCATGGCACAAATCATTCTTTCCGAGGATGACGAAGATGAAGTCCCTATTTTTGGTCACATTTTGGCAGCCGCTGCAAAATCTGCTGGAGAAAAGGATCATAAGTCAGTTCCAGACATGACTGCTGCTATTATTGGTCATTTCACAAGCATCATTGATAAATATAACAAGAATGAAGAGTTAATTTCTGAATTAATCGAATGTTCACAGTATTTCGACTTAGGATCGATCGAAAAGGCTGCAGGATCAAAGGTATTCAAAGACTTTATGAAAGCATTCCATAATCTCTTCATTAAATCCGATTCAAAGGTTATTTATAATAATATTATCAAATCTCTTGTTAGATGGTCTCAAAACGAAGACATTCCATCAAAGCTGAAGAAGGAAGTCGATAACGAGATCAATAATCTCAAGAAGGAGTTCAAGAACCCCAAGAAAGATGCAGAAAAGTTCGCAAAACTTTTAGCAATTGTCACTTTTTACGATTTAAGTGGAGATGAAGAATTACGAGACATGCTTAAGGAGTCAATTGATGTCTGTGATGAAGACGCATCTGCACTTGCCTTAGAATGTCTTGAAAACATTTTCAAATGGGATGTTATGAGAATTAAGAACGATGAAGACCAGAAGATGGATTATACACGCGAATTCAACAGTTTCTTATCACTCTTCTCATTAAAACTTCATAATGATGATATTGACGTGAAGGAAGCTGCATTCAAATGCTTATCTACTTTAATCTCACTTGCAAGACTAGCAGGACAGAAGCCAGTTGATGATACAACAGTTTCTATCTTCTTCAAAGCCTTCCACGAGCTCAAAAACAAAGAAATTCTCTTCCAATGGTTTACACGTCCATTAACATGCGGCGCTGTTGATTCTAAGTACGCTGTTCATGTTCTCTGGTACACACAGGATAACGCATTGAAGGGAGAAGTCAAGAATTTCATGACAAATGTTTCAGATATTTTCCCAGTTGACGGAACAGAGCTCGGAAACTTAGTACGAACTCTTAAATACAACGAAAATAAACTCAAAGCAGCCATGAAGGTCATTGCAAGAAAGATTACTCCAAGAGGTGCAATTGACTCATGGTTGGACGAACCAGATGACTCTTTGCTTCCTATTTACGCTCCTGTTCTAGAGATAATTGACAGGAATGACGCAGAGCTCCTTGAAGATAGAGATGGAATTACTCCGCAGACAAAGGAAGTTCTTTCGAAGAGAGCTCACGGAAAGAAATTGTCTGCAGCCGATTTCGTCGTTAAAAGCAAATCTAAGAAGTCAAAGTCTTCTTCTGAAGCTTCATCTTCGTCATCATCTTCATCTGCTTCTGCATCATCAGATTCTTCAAGTGATAATGAAGATTCTGATTCCGATGACAAGACTTCATCAACATCGTCAGAGAAATCAAACAGTAGTGATTCGAACCAAACAAGTGATTAAAAAATAAAAAAACTTGATATTTGTCTTATTAAAATACCAAAAAGATTTATATTTTCTTTGCATTTTATTTCTATTTTTGCATTTTTCCGAATCGAAATCATTTTCCAGTTTTTGAATCATCAAAATCTTGCTAAAATGAGAAAGAAGAAAGCTGCAATTATATAGCAATTGAATATTCGCTTTCGAAACAAAATCACTTCCAATCATAATTGCGAAATTTTTCACTATATTTTTCAATAATTGAAATTAATTAGTTATTAATAAAATCATAGAATACTTTCCAAATTTTCAACTTTCGAATGCTTTCTAATTTTAGACTTATCAAATTTTGAGAAGGAACCATGGTTTACTCAGAAATCTGAAAAGTAAAATTTATTTCAGATATTATTTACTAATAATGATCTGGCTATTTTTTTATAAACCAAATGGTTTGATTGACACACAAAATTGAGAATATCAATTTTACATCGTCAAACAATTTCTCTGCAATCAACTGCATTCAACCAGTATTATTCAAATATTGATAAAACAAATAGTTTTTACAATTTTGAATCTTCAAGATCAAGTGGTATTTTTTGTCACAATTTTGATGTTACAAAATTCTCGAAACAATTAGAGACGAATGGTATGAAATATTTCATCAAAATTTCACAGGCGAACGTAGCAGTGAAAGCAAGAAATACGATTCTGTTAATGGCGATTTTTATGTAATAAATGTTCTATTTCAAAAAATCGATGCTCCCACCATACTTTTAGACAATAATAATGATGCTAGATCTCTCATTTCTACATGTACATTCTTTAATTTAACAAATGACAAAAAACATGACAGATCAATTGTTCATATTATAATACGTGATAGTGTATTAATTAAAGTTTGTAGTACTGATTCATGCGCTTATAATTATATATCAGATAATTGGAAAAATGGAATATTTTCGACAATAAAATCTCAAAATGGCTTAAATTATTACAATCAAATTTCGATGACAAATAATAATAAAGGTCAGTTAAATGGAGAAAATGGATTAAGTATTCTAAGTGGAAATCTAACATTCTCGAATAATAATATTAGCAATAATTATGCATCTAAGCATTCAGCTTTTTATTCAACTGCAGGTGGTAATATAAATTTTTCAATTATAACAAAGAATGCTGCAGAATCAAAAATATGTGGCTTTAATAATGGTGGTGAATTATCCTATTCATATGTTTCATTCATTAAAAATAAAGTTCTTACAACAGATGACATTAATAGACAAACTCTATCTTATGGAATTATTAGATCTAGTAATGCAAACAGCTCTTTTTCATTCTGTTATTTTGCTGACAATGAACTTGCTAATAATACTTTATTTGGAACACAAAAAGAAACTGACAAAATTATATTAGACAAGTGTATTATGGTTTGTGAAAATAATCAAACTCATATTGGAAATGGAAAATTTGTATATAATAATCCTCAATCACCTAAAATTATCATTGACTTCCATTCAACAGGATTCTGTCCTGGACACAAATACATTCATTTACCAAAAATAACTGATTCGAAATTCAAAGAAATGCTTCAGCGAACAAGAATTACAAGAAGAAGATGAAAATTAGAGAATATATAGTTATTTTAATATAACAAACTCTTATAATTTATCATTAATATATATCATAAGAATAAAAAATAAATTATTGAAGAATTGAAGTACCATCAAACTCTATGGTTTTATTAATAGAACATTCTCCAACATTCATCTGGGAAAGTTATGAGCTCCATTATATTATATACTTCCTACTTGGTTGATATTTTGCATTTAGTGATAGTTTCTAGTTTTAGATAGATTTCAATAATTTTATCATATAGGAAGTTTTAAAGAATGGAATCAACAATATATCGTTGAAAAAACAGAATTTTATAGTAGGAAGGTTCCATACTTTTAGAATTATAACTTTTCATTTGATTCTTTTTGAGGCATTACTCATTTATGCAGAAGATTGACGAGTTGAGAATATAAACTGGATTGGGATTTCATTTTCTTTGATTAGCATCATTGATGGATGATTGATTTATTGGTCATTGTACATTTGCAAGATAATGACAAGCATCATTAGTTTGTTATTGGGATTGATCAATTAAAATTTTGTGAAGTATCTTCATCTTATAAATGTTATATTTTTGAAAGGAGGAAGAAGAACCATAGAAGGTTAGGAGTTTTCAATCATGAATAATACCTTTTGAGTTTGAATTTCTCTGAAAGTATTATGAGTTAGGTAAATTTTACTAAAACTAAGTTAACACAGAGTAGTTACACATTTTTTTTATTAGATGATTGGGAGTTTTCATTTTTGTAAAATTTTTACCAAAAATTTTATGAGTTTGAATTTGGAAGATATTGGTCAAAATATTGAACGATATATAAATGACGACAAGTTTCTATCATCATTAAAAGCTAACCAAATCTGCAAAATCCTTGACAATTCACGTTTAACATCCAGTCAGTATTCAACTTTATTTTTTAATCTTTCTAAATATTTTGGCAAAGTTGATATGCTTATCATTCTTAGTCACGCACACACCGACACATTCCAAACTCGAAATGATGCTCGTCTTGTTTCCGACACAATCTCATCCGTTCTTGGCATTAACACACTAAATAATTTGTTTTCTTTTTACGAAACATCACAAAAAACTGAACCAGAAGAAAAGAAAATCGCTGTCATTGTCCAAACTTCAGCTGTAGACAAAAAAGTATTTCAAATTAGCCCTGACAAAACAATTCTTGACCTCAAAAACCTTATTTACCAAGAACTATCCATTAGACCCGAAGATGAAGAATTGTGTGATGATCAATATTTTGATGAAAATGAAAAATTAAAAACTCTCAGTATTAGAGATGGTTCATCTTTATACTTGGTTTTCAATACTGCAAGACCCTACTCCAACGAATTTAAGATTAATATTAAGACTCTCACAGGAAAATGTTTTACGATCGACAAAGTTAACAAAGATACAAGAGTTATCGACGTAAAGAACAGAATTAGAATCAAAGAAGGAATGTGCATAGGACAGCAACGCTTAATTTTTGCGGGCAATCAGTTACAAAATAACGACACGCTAGGTTATTATAAAATTCAAAAAGATGCAACACTTCATTTAGTTTTAAGACTTGCTGGTGCAAAACCAGTTATTTATTTGTATCCAGAGGAAGAAACAGATGTCACAGTCAACATCAAAGCAAAGGATGGTGAATTTTCATTTGTTTATCCATCATTTGATCATGATAGTACATGGCATGTTCATGCATTTCCAAATGGTGATCTTGTCCATCATGGTCATCATCATCCATGTCTTTTCTGGGAAAGTCTTTTCTACCCATCATTTGATAATAACAATGGTAATAACAATGATAATGAAAATGATAATGAGAATAGAGAAGGCTTTGTTATCGAAGGTCGTCAAGTTGTTTCATTCTTTGAAGATACTCTTCGTCATATTAATCTTTCCGATCGTGAGATCTTCGACTTTATTACATTTTGGTGTCCTAAACTTATCGACATGAAATACATCAAGATCACATTCCACTTCGACGACTATTGTTCACAGTTTCCTCTTTCTATTTCTCCATCTCCTCGACACGTCAACCGTATTTTCTTTTGTGCTACTCCTCTTTCAACACATATTTCTCTTCGACGTCCAAATCTTCCTATAATTTTTATCACCTCTTTCTTTTATGTTTAATTTGTTTCAGTAGCTCTTTGAAATTCGAATCAGTTATTTTTGGTAAATGAATGTATTTGTGTCCAGGACAGAATCCTGTTGATTGGAAATCGATGATAATTTCAGGGGATCGAGGATTATTATATACAAATTTTCCATTTCCAATATGAGTTTGATTATTTTCACAAACCATAATGCACTTGTCTAATATAATTTGATCAGTTCCCAACTGTGTTCCAAATAAAGTATTGTTAGCAAGTTCATTGTCAGCAAAATAACAGAATGAAAAATAACTATTAGCACTACTAGATCTAATAATTCCATATGAAAGCCTAGATGATGAACCATAATTGTCATCTGTTGAAAGTACTTTATTTTTAATGAATGAAACATATGAATAGGATAATTCACCGCCTCCAAAAAAGCCACATATTTTTGATTCGGCTGAATTCTTTGTTATAATTGAAAAATTTATATTACCACCTGCAGATGAATAAAAAGCAGAATGTTTAGATGCATAATTATTGCTGATATTATTATTCGAGAATGATAGATTTCCACTTTTAATACTTAATCCATTTTGTCCATTTAACTGGCCTTTATTATTTTCTGTAATCGAAATTTGATTGTAATAATTTAAACCTTTTTGAGATCCGATTGTTGAAAATATGCTGCCATCTTTATAATTAGCGTTTGAACAGGATTTGTAACTACAAATTTTAATTAATGCACTTTCATCGAGTTGAATATAAATTATTGTTCCATCGTTGTTTGTTAAATCGGCGAAGGTACAAGTGGAAATGAGAGATCTTTTATTAGAATTAGATTGAGTAACTTTGATTGCATAGCTTCCTAATCCCTGAAAAAGAACGCATTTGACATAAAAATCGTTATTAGACAGAGTATATTGCTTGTTAGTATTGTTGCATATACCATTGAAATCCGTGTGGAATATACTGTACCATTCATCATTAATTGTTGCGTGAAATTCCAATCATCAGAATTTAGTCAAAAAATTCCAGTCGATTATGAAAAATCAAAGTTGTTTAACATTTTTCAGGATATAGTATATTTTTACTTCTTCCATGACACAAAATTTGAATATCGATGTAAAAAAGTTCTCAAACGAGAGAGGGTCAAAGTTGCTATTTGTCACTTTTCCACAAGAATATAATGGAGAAAAAGTTATCATATAGTTGATCTCATTCACTGAGGTGAGAGATGCATGTAGTGTAATTTGATAAACAGTGGGATTGCTGCTCTAAGTCCTAGGTTCGAGACACATTGGCTTCATTTTTCTCTTTTTTATGGACGTAAACTATTCAATTTTTGTGTTCTCCATTCAAATTTCAGAATTTTTTTTGCAGATTTCACGCTACATTCGAAGTTACCTTTTGTAACAACCACCACTGCCTACGAAAGACGAAAGTGTGTCACGATTTCACCCGGAAATCCGACGGTTGTTTAAGAGTATGCACTTTTGTCACCTACTCGTTCTCAAACTTTGAAATAAAGCCTCAATCCTCAACCATTTGCAAGATTGAACGAAATCTTTGTACAACATTCAACCATCGATCATAAATTAGCTACAAATATAAAGATTCCTCTAAACGAAGGATTTTCCGAAATTTCCGAACAACAAATAAGGTTTGAACCTATCCATGAAAAATTAGTACAGTATGCTTCCATATTTACGAACTTTATCATTGATGTCCCAATTAGGCTTATATTTAAAATCGTGAAATTTTCTCTTTCTATTCTGAATCCTTTAATATGAGCCATGCTCAACATCCTTGGTTATAAATGAATAACGATGATTCAATTGCAGATTTCTAATTTAAAATAATGGCAATTGAGCAACATATTTAGAAATAAAACAACATTTTATTTGAGGAGTAGTGATGATGACCATGATGGACAAGATCACCACTTGGAAATGCATGAACATGCCATGTGCTATCATGATCAAATGATGGATAAACAAATGAAAATTCACCATCCTTTGCTTTGATGTTGACTGTGACATCCGTTTCTTCCTCTGGATACAAATATATAACTGGTTTTCCACCTCATTTGCTTCAATCTCATTATCATTGATGGTTTTGCCATTCTGGAGCTGCTTCATAACATGTATTAAACGCTTGGTATCGTTTCGGTATCTTTTATTTAATTAACAAATTATATAATTTTGTTATGATTAAAAAATCATTTTGTGTTGATGTGGTTATCAATTTTTGGTATTTTCTTCTTCTTCTTCGCCGTCGTCATCGTCGTCGTTTTCTTCTTCTTCTTCATTAATGTTTTCATCCTCTTCATTATTAGAGGATCCTTCTCTGCAGCTGCAGCGATTTGATGGGTGACTATGGTCTTCAGTTACTTCTATAAATGAATCTTGGTTAAATCTCAAATCTTTGATTTTTTGATTATCTTTAAGTAGAGTTCTTTCTAAGTATAATTGTTGAATATTGCTATCTATAGATAGATCTTCTTGAATAATGTTTTTGAGATCAGAAACTGTTGATTCTGGGCTGATTTTAATTACATGACCTAAATAATCTGAAGTACGTACGGTAATATCGATCTGATTATTGTCTGAAGTATCATCGTAAAAAGAAAATAAATTATTTAGTGTGTTAATACCAAGAACGGATGAGATTGTGTCGGAAACAAGACGAGCATCATTTCGAGTTTGGAATATGTCGGTGTGTGCGTGACTGAGAATGATAAGCATATCAACTTTACCAAAATATTTAGAAAGATTAAAAAATAAAGTTGAATACTGACTGGATGTTAAACGTGAATTGTCAAGGATCTTGCAGATTTGATTAGCTTTTAATGATGATAGGAACTTGTCGTCATCGATATATCTTTCAATATTTTGACCAATATCTTCCAAATTCAAATCCATAAAATTTTTGAAAATCGGTTGAAGACTGTATATTATATGAAAAAAGGATACTATAACTATGAAATGATAAATAAATTTAACAAATTACACAGAAAAATGACAAATCTTCTTGATATTTTGTTAATTATTCATCGTATAGAAACTCAACTGATGAAAGAAAGACAAGAGAGAATAAGTTGTTTACAATAATATTATGAAAAGAATAAATTTATAAGACTTCATTTGAGAATTGCTTTGTCATCTTCACTGATGATAGTGCCACCCCATTCAATAACGGTGAAACCATCACGTGAAAATGTAGGAAGATTTGGACGTCGAAGAGAAATATGTGTTGAAAGAGGAGTAGCACAAAAGAAAATACGGTTGACGTGTCGAGGAGATGGAGAAATAGAAAGAGGAAACTGTGAACAATAGTCGTCGAAGTGGAATGTGATCTTGATGTATTTCATGTCGATAAGTTTAGGACACCAAAATGTAATAAAGTCGAAGATCTCACGATCTGAAAGATTAATATGACGAAGAGTATCTTCAAAGAATGAAACAACTTGACGACCTTCGATAACAAAGCCTTCTCTATTCTCATTATCATTTTCATTATCATTGTTATTACCATTGTTATTATCAAATGATGGGTAGAAAAGACTTTCCCAGAAAAGACATGGATGATGATGACCATGATGGACAAGATCACCATTTGGAAATGCATGAACATGCCATGTACTATCATGATCAAATGATGGATAAACAAATGAAAATTCATCATCCTTTGCTTTGATGCTGACTGTGACATCTGTTTCTTCCTCTGGATACAAATAAATAACTGGTTTTGCACCCCGCAATCTCAAAACTAAATGAAGTGTTGAATCTTTTTGAATTTTATAATAACCTATGCTTTTATCTTCATCTAATTGTGCTCCAGCATAAACCAAACGCTGCTGATCCATTGGTATGCCCTCTTTGTCCTGAATTTTGTACATTATGTCTAATACTCTTAGGTCTTCACCAACATCAGGGACAGTTATATGTTTTCCTGTCAAAGTTTTGACAAAAATCTGAAATGAGTGTCCGCGAGGTAATAGCAACAGGGAGAGATATTCAATAACTGTACCATTATGAATATTGTAATATTTTAATTTTTTTTCATTTTTAAGAAACCAGTGGAAATGCAATTCGCAATCTTTGGACTCAATTGATAACTCTTCGCCAACAATGTTTTTAAGGTCAAGAACTGTATTATTGGGGTTGATCTGATATTCTTTTTTGTCTACTGCTAAAGTTCGGACGATAACATTGATTGGTTTTTCTTCTGGTTTAGTTTTTGTTGAAGTTTCGTAAAAAGAAAACAAATTATTTAGTGTGTTAATGCCAAGAACGGATGAGATTGTGTCGGAAACAAGACGAGCATCATTTCGAGTTTGGAATGTGTCGGTGTGTGCGTGACTAAGAATGATAAGCATATCAACTTTACCAAAATATTTAGAAAGATTAAAAAATAAAGTTGAATACTGACTGGATGTTAAACGTGAATTATCAGGGATCTTGCAGATTTGATTAGCTTTTAATGATGATAGAAACTTGTCGTCATATTTCATTATAGCCTTTGTTCCTAATTTGGAGTACAATATATCAACATGTATCTCAGATGAGGAACAAAATCAATAATCGGATGTTGATTATTTAATTGATTTTTGCTCCATGTGAAATAAGAACTTCAGCTGTTTCTGTTCTATTATTTTTTGTTGCAATATGAAGAGCGGTTTGTCCATCATCATCTTTTTCATTGATATTTGCACCATGTGAAATAAGCAGTTCGGCTGTTTCTTTACTATTATTACTTACTGTAATATGAAGTGCGGTTTTTCCATCATTATCTTTTTCATTGATATTTATGCCATGTAAAATAAGAAGTTCGGCTGTTTCTATACTATTATTACTTGCTGTAATATGAAGTGCGGTTTGTCCATCATCATCTTTTTCATTGATATTTGCACCATGTGAAATAAGAACTTCAGCTGTTTCTTTACTATTTTTTCTTGCTGCATAATGAAGTGCGGTTCTTCCATCATCATCTTTTTCATTGATATTTGCACCATGTGAAATAAGAAGTTCGGCTGTTTCTATACTATTATTACTTGCTGTAATATGAAGTGCGGTTCGTCCATCATCATCTTTTTCATTGATATTTGCACCATGTGAAATAAGAAGTTCGGCTGTTTCTTTACTATTATTACTTACTGTAATATGGAGTGCGGTTTGTCCATGCTTATCTTTGTCATTGATATTTATACCATGTTTATTGTTGACTATAATTTGATTGTATGACTCAAGTAATAATCTGCAAATATCAGAATTTTGCGCTTTACTTGCAAAATAAATAATTCCACATTTAGTGTGATTATGTTTGTTAGAAAATGTATTGTTTTTGAAAATATCTATTGTTTGCGGAAATGCAGCACCCCATGGAAAGATGTAATATTTGTTCCTTTTGAATAGAAGAAATACAGCATTAAGGTTTTGATATCTGATGATATCTTTGTAAATAGGTCTATAATTTGCATCTCCCATACAATTCCCTGCTTTTCCCCAATCCTCACCGTATAAATCATCAAGCTCGAATATCTCTCTATCTAAAACATATTCAAGCAATTCGTGATTGTGTGCCCGTATAATGCTTCTGAGACAATCAATATCCATTTTATTTTCTTTCATGCATTCGTTGATGATGTCTTGATTTCCTCCAATTACTGAGTAGATACGACAATTTTCAGTTATTTCACTGATTTGGTTCGAAATCAAGAAATAAAAAATGTTAACAGATCCAAAGTAGGCACATGCCTCAATTAGTGATAACTCTGCAAAATAACCATAATCGTAAGCATTGTTCCTGAAATTAGGAATTTGGAGAAAAATGCCACCCGATATTGAATTTTGAGTTAAGTATTCTTTGAACTTATCAATTTGATCATGCATAACTATAAATTCAATCGAACCCTCCGTTTCAAAATGTTAATACGATACTTCGGTGAGATCAGCCCCGATCTGTTCGAGTATTTTGACGTAATTCGCTCCGGATGCATAATTGTATCTAATTGCCTCATGAATTAACTTTGTAAGTTGCTTGATTGAAAGTTGATACTTCGAAATCAAAGTATTTGTAATTATACTGCACATATCTTCGATAGGTTCATTAGATTTTATGTGGAAGAGCTTTTCAAGCGCCCCTATAAAATCCGCATATTGTTTAGAATGGTCAGAACTCATAATGAAAAAAAATTTTTTTTGACTAGTCAAAAATCTAGATTTTTTTTTTGACTTTTTTATGACCATTTTGGGTTTTAATCGATGACCTTGTAAAGACTAAGACAGCAATATCAAGCGATTTCTCATTATTCTTAGTGAACTATCTTGCTAGCTATGATATAATTGTTGGAACATCTGCTTGAATTCCGTCAGCTTTCCACTTCTTCAAGACTTCTGTGAAGAATCCAGTGATCATGTGGAAGAGTGTTTTGTTGCAATCAGGAAGGCTGTTGATAAGGTTCATGAATTCCTTCTTTTCGTCCTTTTGTTCCCATCCTTTCAAAAGATCATAGGAGAAAATCGGTTCTTTCGTACTTTCGATGACGGAGAACAAGGCAGAGAATAATCCATATTGATTAGTCAATTAACTGTACTATCATATTTTATTTAGAAGACTGCATGCCGGTAAAAACCTTTATATTAGTTCAAATTTTGAAGTATTAGATGTCTCCTTGTGTAAATGCAAGAATTTACTGCCAAGAATTAAATCTTTATAAACTTTAATAGATTTATGTTTGTTTATTGATCTAAAAGCTTTAGCACATCTTCAATATTCAAAAGTTTCTCTGTTTCGAATAACAAAAATATGATAAACTACCTTCTAGTTTTGTTTTTAGTTGTTTAGACTCTTCAGAAGACCTTAAACTTAAATTTTCGGCTAAACATTAAAGATATTTCTTAATTTACAAAGAATTAGTTGTTTAAGAATTTAAGCATATTAAGTTTTCAACTTCAAATTTTAAATGAAATTTTCAAAAAGAATTTTTATTAATATTAATATAAAAAAAATAAGATTTCATTAAGTAGAATCTACAACATAAATAATGCTACCATTTTGTATATCATGGCTCATAAGGCTGCTGCCGTTGTCTATATATGTTCCATCAAATATTAAGCGTTGTTGGCTAACTGAAATTCCTTTTGTTTGCTGAATAATGTATTTAAGTTCTATACCTCTTATTGATAGGTCAATGTTTGGAATTGTTGTTGATTCTCTGTTGACTCGAATTTCAAGAGAAACTCTTGGTAAACTATTATCTCCAGATTGTGATGGTGTAAGAGATGGAAAATTATCTAGTCTCAGTAAGTCAAGTGTAGCACCATTGTGGAGACGATAGAAATTTAATGAATTTTCGTTTTCAAGAAGAGTATCATTGTAAAATAAAATTTGTCTATCAGGGTCGACTGATAATTTTGCTTTGATCTGTTGTTTAAGATCTAGAATTGTACTGTCTAAAGATATAGAAATTGGAATATGGTCAGATGATGATTTTCTAATATTGACTTCGATTTTAATATCATCTGATATCTCTTTAAAGTATGAAAATAAACTTTGGAGAGTATTAATACCAAGAACCGAAGAAATTGTATCTGAAACTTCTTTTGCATCAGATTTATTTTTGAATTCTGTCGTGTGAGCATGACTAAGTATCATAAGCAAGTCAATTTTACCAAAATATTTGGATAAATTAAAAAATAATGTTGAATATTGTGAAGAAGTTAACGTTATTTTGTCAAGAAGCTTGCACACTTGGTATGCTTTCAATCTTTTAAGGAAACATTCATTATCAATGTATTTATTAGTATTCTTAATAAAATCTTCTTCGTTGATATCTTCTTCTTCGTTATGCATAAAAAAATTGTCAAGATGTCAAATTTGAAAATAGATTCTCCAACGATTTGCTTTACTTTTTAGTGAAATCAGCATTCTCGGACTAGGTGAATGTCTTTCAATCAATATCAATTAATTAAGTAGATTTTTTTGTCAAAAAATTTCTTTTTAAATAATAATGTCATTCTATAGTTTTATGGATGTTTCTGTGAAATACTCTTGAAAGAATTTCAATGTGTTCTCAAAAATATCAGTATTAAAATAAAATTATAAATTTGCCACAGTTTTTATATGAATTGCTGTTGTGAGCATCATGATTTGGAATATATTGGAAGAAACATTGAAAAATACATCAACGATGAAGAACTATTTTCATCCTTGAAAGTAAAAGAAGTTTGTCAAGTCTTAGATAATGCAAGATTGAATCCGTCTCAGTATTCATGCTTAATTATCAATCTGTCGAAGTACTTTGGCAAATATGATATGCTATCTATTTTGAATCATGCTCACACATCAGAATTCAAAAGTCGTTCTGAAGCATGTATGGTTTGTGACTCTATTTCTTCTATTCTTGGCATTGGAACTCTTCATAATTTGTTTTCGTATTACATGGAATCCTCAAAAGATCTTGAAATCAAAATTAAAGTCTGGATTTCAGTTGATGAATTTCGATATTTCATTATTACATCAAAAACCACGGTTCTTGATCTTAAGAATAAGATTTACAATGATTTATCAATTCATCCAATTAATCAAATATTAATGTTTAAAGGGGATTGGCTTAATAACGAAGAAATATTAACCAAATGCCATATACACGATGAATCAGATATTGATTTAATAAGAATCAATTATAAACCATCTTATATGGAAATTTTTATCAAAACTCTTACTGGGAAACATATTTTGATTCATGTTGAACCTGATTTCCTTGTTGACGACTTATACAGGATTTTATCCGGAAAAGTAGGTATTCCAGCAGATCAACAACGTTTAGTATTTAATGGAAAGCAATTAGAAAGAGGGAATACATTAAAAGACTATGGAATTCAGGAATATTCAATACTTCATTTAGTTTTAAGACTTGTTGGTGCAAAACCAGTTATTTATTTGTATCCAGAGGAAGAAACAGATGTCACAGTCAACATCAAAGCAAAGGATGGTGAATTTTCATTTGTTTATCCATCATTTGATCATGATAGTACATGGCATGTTCATGCATTTCCAAATGGTGATCTTGTCCATCATGGTCATCATCATCCATGTCTTTTCTGGGAAAGTCTTTTCTACCCATCATTTGATAATGGTAATAACAATGATAATGAGAATGATAATGAAAATAGAGAAGGCTTTGTTATCGAAGGTCGTCAAGTTGTTTCATTCTTTGAAGATACTCTTCGTCATATTAATCTTTCCGATCGTGAGATCTTCGACTTTATTACATTTTGGTGTCCTAAACTTATCGACATGAAATACATCAAGATCACATTCCACTTCGACGACTATTGTTCACAGTTTCCTCTTTCTATTTCTCCATCTCCTCGACACGTCAACCGTATTTTCTTTTGTGCTACTCCTCTTTCAACACATATTTCTCTTCGACGTCCAAATCTTCCTACATTTTCACGTGATGGTTTCACCGTTATTGAATGGGGCGGATGCATCAACACCGATGATGATCGACGACTTCTCAAATAAATTTTGATTTAAAAGAAAATGTGAAATATACACATCATACAAGTATAACCGATATTATTATAAAATTATTCATTGCGAGAGAGACTCCATGTATCCCAAGTATATTGAGAACTTTTGTAAGGAAATTGAAAGATTTAGTTAAAAAAAAAGAGAAAAATCTCGTGAAAGAATCATAGATTTGGTGGTGTCAGAAGGTATGAGAATTGGATAAAATATGATAGTATGCTCCATTATGAATAGTAAATGAATCTTACATCAAAAAAATCATCTGGGAAAAGTAGTTTTTTACTCGAAAAATGTTTTGAAAATAAAATAAGAAAAAATTTTAACATAAAAACCAGAATTTATTACCTCGGGGAACGTTTCTCAGCACCAGTATTTCTACTTCATAAGTTAGAATATGCCAAAAAATTGAGAAAAATTAGAAAGTGGTATGTATAAATGATTAAAATATATATATAATATTTATTCGAACAATGAATTCAATTGTGAAATACAGTTTTGAGGGTCTTCGCTCTTTATTATAGTCTGGATTGCGTAGATGATTTGTTTCGCGTTCTGGTATTTCTCACGCCATCTTGCTTCGCGAGAAATGTGTCTCTTTGCCTTTTCGACCAAAGGAGTGATACTTGAAACGTCGAAGTTTATTTCAGTGCTGTCAATTCCTAGTACTGGAGCCAAGCTCTCGATGACTGTTTTCTCGATTGCTTTGATGTTGTTGAGTTTGTTATCCACGATTTGTAACTTTGAAACAATTTTGTCAATTGCGGATTTGAACATGTTGAATTTCTTTTCAACTTCTGCCAAAACTTTCTTTTCTCTTTGCTTGAATTCTTCTGCAATTGATTGGCATTTGTTTTGATATTCTTCTGAGATACGACGCTTCTCTTCGACCTCGAATTTAAGTTGAGAAATTTCTTTCATGTTCTGTTCTCTTTCCATTTTAACAATTCTTTCTTTCTCTTGTTCGGCAATCTCCAAATCTTTCTTCAATGCATAGATTTGTTCTGATGATTCTTCATTTGTTTCTTTGATTTCTTCGATTTGTTTCTGCAAAATCTTCATTTTTTCATCCATTTCTTCGTTTTCTTCAATCAAATCTTCATTTTGTTTCTTGTATTGTTCAACTTCTTTCTTCAATTCTTCAATTTGTTTTTGAAGATTTTCTTGTTCGGAATTAACATTTTCTTCTTCTTTTTGAGATTTCTGTTCTTCCAGTTTCTCAATTTCTTGTGTTAAATCATCAACTTCTTTCTTCAAATCTTCATTTTCTTTTTGTTTTTGTTCATTTTCTTTTTGATTTTCTTCTTGTTTTTGTTTCAAATCGTTGTTTTCTTTGATGATTTGTTCGATTTGTTCGTTCAATCCGTCGATTTCTTCATCTTTTTCTTGTAATTTTACTTTGAGATCTCTTATTTCTGCGTCAACATTGTTCTGCAAATCATTGACGTTGTTAATCAGAACTTCTTTCTCTTGTGTCAGTCTCTCGATTGTTATGTCTAATTCCGCATTCTTCTTTGCGAATTCTTGGAGACTTGAAACTAATTTTTCATTGTGTTTCGTCTTTGATTCCAATTCATTTGAAATTGTTTCTTTTTCATTCTTCAATTCTTCAATTTGTTTTTGAAGATTTTCTTGTTCGGAATTAACATTTTCTTCTTTCTGAGATTTCTGTTCTTCCAGTTTCTCAATTTCTTGTGTTAAATCTTCAACTTCTTTCTTTAAATCTACATTTTGTTTTTGATTTTCTTCAATTTTTTGTTTGATTTCTTCAATTTCTTTCTGTTTTTCATCTAATTTTTGATTCATTTCTTCATTTTCTTGAGTTAAATCATCAATTTCTTTCTGTTTTTCTTCGAAATTCTTCTTAATTTCTTCTATTTCTTTTTGTTTTTCTTCTGATGATTGATTCATTCCTTTCTTCAAATCATCATTTTCTTTTTGAAGATTTTCAATTTGATTTTGATTTTCTTCGAAATTCTTCTTAATTTCGTCGACTTCTTTTTGAAGATTTTCTTTTTCTTTCTTCAAATCATCATTTTCTTTCTGTTTTTCATCTAATTTTTGATTGATTTCTTCGATTTCTTGAGTTAAATCATCAATTTCTTTTTGATTCTTTTCGCTTTCTTCAGCATTTTGAGAGTTGATTTCTTCAATCTTTTGTTTGAGATCTTCAACAGTTTTCTGTCTTTCGCCAATTTCTTTTTGAAGTTCTTCGATTTTCTCTGTAATTTCTCCATTTTCTTTCTTAAGATTTTCGTTTTCTTTCATCAATTCTTCTTGTGCAGAATCAGAATCTTTCTTTAATAACTCGTTTTCTGACTTCAAATCTTCGTTTTCTTTCTGAAGTTTTTCTGTTTCTGTCACTTTTTCATTCAATTTTTCATAAATTTCTGACAAATTTTGTGACAATTTTTCATTTTCTTCAGCCAAATTATCTAATTTGAGAGAAATGTCTTCTTTAGCTGTTTCAGCTTCATCTATTTCTCTTGTCTTCTGACTGATGGAATCTTCTAATTCTGTCACTTTTTGTGTCAAATTTTCCAACTTTTTATTGAAATCTTTTTCTGAATTTTCTTTTTCAGATTTGAGTTCATTTATTTCTTGTTTTAATTTCTCTTTTTCTGATTCATCTGAGAGTTTCTGAGCCAATTCTTCTATTTGTTTCTCAAGTTCATTCTTATCTTCGTTCAATTTGTTGTTTTGTTCAGATAAATCAGTGTTTTTCTGCTTCAAATCAATGATTTCTTCATCTTTGACTTGAATAAGATCTTTTTCATCTGAAACTTTTTGTTTCAGTTTCTCAATCTGTTGGTTCAACTCAATCACGAACTTCTGGTCTTTGTCTTCACTTTCTGACATCGACTTCTTCAGTAATTCTATTTGATCTTGCAAATCCTTTATTTCATTGTTAAATTCTTCATTTTCTTTCTTAAGATTTTCAACTTTTTCTTCATTTTCGTTTTGTAAATCTTCGATTTGTTTCTTGAGTTCAGAAAGTTGATTCTTGTAGTCTTCATTTTCTTCAATGAGAGCTTTTTCTGTTTCTTCTTTTTCTTTCTGCAAATCATCAATTTGTTTGTTCATTTCATTGAGCGAATTCTCTTTTTCTTTCTGCAAATTCTCATTTTGGTTCTTTATTTCATCAATTTGTTTCTGTAAATCTTCGATTTGATTCATTAATTCGTTGATTTCTGTTTCTTTTTCTTCTGTTTGTTTTTGAAGTTCTTCCTTCAATTCATTGATTTGTTTGTCTTTTTCTTCTATTTGTTTCTTGATTTCGTTCATTTCATCTTCTTTTTCATTGATTTGTTTGACAGTTTCTTCTTCATTTTCTTCTTTTTGTTTGGATAAATCTTCAATTAATTTATCTTTTTCGTTGATTTCATTTTGTTTTTCTTCAATTTGTTGTTGAAGTTCTTCTATTTGTTTCTTCAACTCATTAATTTCATTTTCTTTTTCTTCAATAACTTTTTGTTTTCCTTCTTTTTCATTCGATGAATCATTGATTTCTTTCTTCAAATCACTGAGTTCATTCTCTTTTTCTTCCTTTTCATTAGATAAATCTTCAATTTGTTTCTTGGGTTCATTAATTTCATTTTGTTTTTCTTCTGTTTGTTTCTGAAGTTCTTCAACTGATTTTTCTTTTTCTTCTTTTTCTTTCTGGAAATCTTCAATTTGGTTCTTCAACTCATTAATTTCATTATCTTTATCAGTTGATAAATCTTCGATTTCATTTTCTTTTTCTTCTGTTTGTTTTTGAAGCTCTTCAATTTGTTTCTCTTTTTCTTCCTTTTCATTAGATAAATCATTAATTTGTTTCTTCAACTCATTAATTTCATTTTCTCTTTCTTCAACAACTTTTTGAAGTTCTTCTTTTTCTTTAGATAAATCTTCTGTTTGTTTCTGAAGTTCTTCATTTAATTTGTTGATTTCATTTTGTTTTTCATCATTTTCTTTCTTCAAATCACTTAATTCATTCTCTTTTTCATCAACAACTTTTTGAAGTTCTTCTTTTTCTTTAGATAAATCTTCAATTTGTTTCTTGAGTTCATTAATTTCATTCTCTTTTTCCTCTGTTTGTTTCTGAAGTTCTTCAACTGATTTTTCTTTTTCTTCTTTCTCTTTCTTGAAATCATTAATTTCATTTTGTTTTTCATCAACAGCTTTTTGAAGTTCTTCGTTTTCATTAGATAAATCATTAATTAATTTTTCTTTTTCTTCTTTCTCTTTCTTGAAATCATTAATTTCATTCTCTTTTTCATCAACAGCTTTTTGAAGTTCTTCGTTTTCATTAGATAAATCATTAATTAATTTTTCTTTTTCTTCTTTCTCTTTCTTGAAATCATTAATTTCATTCTCTTTTTCATCAACAGCTTTTTGAAGTTCTTCGTTTTCATTAGATAAATCATTAATTAATTTTTCTTTTTCTTCTTTCTCTTTTTGAAGTTCTTCATTTAATTTGTTGATTTCGTTGTTTTTCTCCTGAATTAAGTTGGAGAATTCGTCATTGTTTTGTTTGGACAATTCTTCATTTTGTTTGTTGATTTCTTCGATTTCTTTGTTCAATTTCTCAATTTTTTCTTCATTTTGAGATTTTTCTTGTTCACTCTTGTTCTTCAATTCATTTAGTTCATGATCAACTGATTCTTTCTCCGAAATCAGCTTAGATTTTTCATCTTCATAATTTTGCTTCATTTCATCAAGTTTTTGTTGCAGATCTTGATTTTCATGTGATAAACTATCAATTTCTGACTGTTTTTGGTCGATTTCTGACTGTTTTTCTTCAATAATTTTTTCATTTTCAGAAATCATCGAATTCAAATCAGAAATTTTCTGATTCATCTCAACCAAAGTCTTTTTATCTCCTTCTTCGGACTCTTCCATTGACTTTTTGAGGTTTTCAAGTTGGGAATTGAGAGATTCGATTTCTTTCTCTTTGTTTTCGATTTCTTCTGCTGATCTCTTGATTTCTTCTTCAAGTTTGGCTTTGTTTGTCATGTTTTCATCGTTTTCTTTTTGTAATTCAGAAATTTGATTATCTTTGGACTGAATTAGGTCATTGAGCTTGCCAATTTCATCAGAATTACTTAGAGAGAGCTGTTCGATGTCTGCTTTGACTTTATCGTTCTCTTTTTGTAATTTTGATTTTTCATTGGACAAAACTTCGAAATCTCTCTTCAACTTTGAGTTTTCGTGATCTAAAGAACCGATTTGTTCAGTTAATGTCTTGTTTTCTGACTTCAAAGCTAAAGATGAATTTTCTAATTCGGATATCTTTGAAGAAAGTAAATCTAACTGCTTGAGAAGGTTCTCATTGTTGGTATTATTGGAAGATTGAAGGTCAGTGATCGCTTGTGACTTTTCATTGTTCTCGGATTTCAATTTTTCAATTTCTGAAGTGGAATCTTCGAGTTTTTGACTTAATTCAGCTTGTGATGCTGTTAACTGGTCGTTAGAAACCTTGTATTTGTCAACTTTCTGCTGTAATTCGGAAATTTGAGAATTATATTCTGAAATTTGTTGATTATTTGATTCGATTTGGGATTTGAGGTCATTAATATCTGATTCTGCAGCAAGCAGTTTCTCGTTTAGCTCATTTTGACCAACTTTTTCATCATTTGATTCAGATTTAAGTTTTTCGTAGTTTTCTTGTGATTCTTTGAGTTGATCTGTCAATTGTTGATTCTTCTCATTCAATTCATCTATGAGTTTCTGCTTTTCTTGTTGAATTTCTTGATTTTCTTTATCAGAGTTTTCGATTTCAGTTTGTAAAGCTTGGATATCAGATAGATGCTTTGAAATATCATCATCTTTCTGGTTGATGATCTTTTTAAGCTTTTCAATTTGATTCTTCAAATCATCTTGAGAGTTTTGCATTTCTGTATTGGAATTCTGTAAAGACTGAATTGTTTCCGTAAGTTCTTTAATCTTTTGTTCACTATCTGTGCTTTCTTGGCTCTTTGAATTAAGTTTTTCTTCATTTTCTTGAAGAATAGCTTCTAATTCAGTATTGTGAGATTTGGACTTGTCAAGTTCTTCCTTTAATCTATTGATTTCGTCCTCTAATTCGGAAATTACTTCGCCATCATCGGAGTGTCCTGATTCTTTTGATTTGCTCGACTCAGAAAGCTCTTTGATCTTGTTTTCGTAGTCTTGTTTGAGAGTTTCTATTTCTTTATTGAGGTTTTCGTTTTTAGTTTTTTCTTGTTCTAATTCCGCCGACAGAGATTCAATTTCTTCTGTCAACTCATTAATTTCTTCATCATTATTCTCGGTTTCAACCTTTTTCTTGAGTTCTTCAATTTCTGCTGAGAGTTGTGAATTTGAATTTTTGAGATTGTCTCTTTCTGACGTAATTTCATCAAGCTTTTGCTTGAGCTCAGTGTTTTCTTGATCCATAAGCTCTAATTGTTCAGTTAATTCGGCAATTTCATCATCCATTTCGTATAAAAAAAATTGAAATTTTTTATTTTGAATTGAAAATTGGTTGATCTTGTTACATCTTGATTCCATTTTATTCGTGCTGGGTTGTATGCGATTTCCATTATAAAAATATGAAAAATATGAGAATTTGGAGAAAAAACAATCTAAATTTATAAATTTACTCTGTTGTTTAGCATAGTAGATATTCACATTAGAAATCAAACATTTTCATCAGTCCCTTTTAGATGAAAACCAAACCTCCAATAAATCAATATCTCAAAATCAAAGAAAAACAAATTTAAATAAATATATGTTCATTTTTAGAAACGAGGATATTGATTATTCCAAGAAAGAAGTTTGAATATTATTGTTGGTTTTTTTCATAATTTTTTTATCATGGGGCAAATAACGAAATCATGCAAAGAATTAAAGCGTGTTGGCATTCTGACAGAGTGTGGACGATTTAATATCAATATTAATGGTCGAATAATCAAAACAAAGAAGTCATCTGCAGTTTGTTTTTCAGATTTAATCCAAGAAAAATTTTTAATTAATAAATCAATATCATCATATCAAATAAATCTAGATCTCAAATGTAAAGATTCAATTGACATACTTTCAGAGTTTCTTGAAACAGGAAAACTTGACTTTGAAGAAGATGAATCACATTATCATGATATATTTGAAATTGGAAAACATTTTGGAAATCAATTATTCATACAATTATATACAGAACATGTTAAATTAGACAAATCTATTACAAAAGAAAACGTTTTTCAAAAGTATGAAATTTCAGTTTTTGAAAATGATATTATAACAGAAAACGAATGCATTAGATTCATTTCATCACATTTGTATTGTTTAGATGACAAAGATATCATTGAACATTTCGCAAAAAATGGCTATGAATTTTGTGAAAAAATCATTACCTCAGACGAATTAAAGATCGACAACGAAGATCATTTATCTCTTTTACTTTTATCAATCTGCAAACAGAATGATACATTGTTTGACTTATTTAGATACATCAAACTTACATTTTGTTCACGAGAAACATATGACATAATTTATAATTTTTGTATTGAACATTCATTCGAAGGAGTTCTTCTTTCTATATATAACGAAACATTAAAGAATTATCATTCAAATCTTCGAGAAAAAATTGAAATCTCAAATAACTCTATTTGTGCTTATGAATCTATGTTAGTAGATTATAAAGAAATTAAAATGGAATTTACAGCTTCATCTGTTGCAAATGGAAGAAGTTTATCAGATATAAATTCTTATCGAAATGATGCTAATTTCTATACTTGTAGTTATCCTAATTCATGGATAAAAGCTGATCTAAAAGGATATAAATTAAAACCAACATCTTATAAGTTACACCCAACAGTTAGGTATGATACTCATTTATTGAGGAGATGGAAGTTAGAAGGAATCAAAGAAGATGGAACAACTGTTGTATTAGATAATGATAAATATTATGAATTTAAACAAAGCGAAATCAAAGAGTTTCCACTTCAAACAAACGAATATTTTGTATCTTTCAAATTAACTCAAACTGGAAAGGATTCAAACAATTGTGATATTTTGCGAATAAATATTTTTGATTTCAAAGGTAAATTAACAAAAATATAATTATCTTTGAATACTTATAATTCATAATGTGATAGCTTACTGAATTTCATTATAAAGTATTATATATTTAAAATACAAACAAAATAAATATAAAAAAGTTATTTTTCTTCTTCGAGATTCCATTCTGCTGCAGCTTCGAGGAGATTTCTTGCTGCATCTTCTCCTTCTTCTGGGAAAACTAATTCGCCATCGATTTCCTTTGGTAAAGCAGCATCTACTGCATTTCGTGTTTCTTCATCTCCAAATTCTTCTTCAAACTCAACACGAAGTTTTCTTATCTTTGCACGTGATAATTTATCTGACGACATCTTTTCTTCAGCCAATGAAAACAATTGTCTCGCGTAATCAACTTTCCCTTTCGTTCCTGCTTCAAATGATATCCAATCTCTCCATGTCTCGAATTTGTTGCTTGTTTCAGTAAGATTCTGGTAAAGTTGTGAAACTTTTTCGAGATTTCCAATGTGACTTTCGAAATCAATGTAAGTTGACCATATTAAGTCCTTTTCTTCAATGTATTCGCAATTAACAGCCTTTTCCAGTATTTCTCGTGCGGAATCTTCGTTTCCTCGTCGAACTTCAAACATCGCGAATCTTGTCCACGCCAAAAGGAATTGCGGCTCTTTTTCTATGAAGTCTTGGTATAGTTTACGGACTTTGTCGAAGTTCTGAAGCAATCCTTCCATTTCTATGTAAGATCTGTAAATTGAGCAACATTTCAGCTGATATTTCTTGCAAATACCAAGAGCAGTGCCGAATATGTCTCGTGCCATCTGGATGTTCTCTTGCCTGACCTCAAAGAAGGCGTAAAGAATCCACATTCGTGAAAAAGTGAATTTTTTGTTTGGAACCGTAGAAATTAATTTTCTGTAAGCTTCTCGTGCGTTATCGTAATTTTTAGCAACTTTTTCTTCAAATATGGCATGTTGAAGACAAACTTGAACGTATTTGCTCCATTGTTCCTTTTCATCGACCACTGGAGGTTTGTGGGACTCTGCATCTGTAAATGCCATCCTCGCTTCGTCAATTCTTGAGCTTTCGACTAGTAATTGGCATAATTCAAACCATGTATCGTAATCATTGGGATTTTGATCGAGAAATTGCTTGTATTGTGCTCGCTTTTTATCTATGACGGCATCTTCAATCTGTGTATTACCGCCAAATCGTTTTTCGAATTGTAAATACGCTGGATAAATATCATGAGAAGAAGTTTCTGGTAATTTTGATAATCCGAGCTTATAAATTGCACGAGCACGGTCTATTTCACCTTGGTCTTCTTCAAATTCTGCAAATTTGATTAAAAAAGTCTCACCAAGGTTTTTCTCGCCAAAAGAGTTCAAACCACGCTCGAAAACACTGCGAGCTCTACCTGATTGATGTAGGCGGATCTCGAAATCAGCATATCGCAAATAACTCTCTGGAAATGGGTGAATAATAAGTAATCGTTCGAAAACTGATCTGGCGCGTGAAAACTCTTTGAGTTTAGTTTCAAACTCAACAAATGTAAGGAATGCATGAGCTGGAGGTTCCCAAGCAAGCCATCTTTGGAAAATTTTTCTCGCGTTTTCAAAATTAGAAATACTGATCTCAAGTTGGGCATAGCGAAGCCAGAATTCATCGTATCTTGGTAAAAGAGTTACTGCTCTTTCGTATAAATTTCTGGCGTAATTAAACTGTTTATGTCGCAATTCCATGTCGACATAGCAATTCCACACTGTTTGTTCTTTATATTCGGTAAATTTGAGCGCTCTTTCGAAAACATTTCTTGCATTTTCGATTTCACCGTTTTGTTCTTCCCAAATTGCATATCTAATGAATGTATTATGAGTGCATAAGTTCCTTCTAACACTTTGTTCCCAAGCTTGTCTTCTTCTGAAGATTAAATCTGCATTTTCTTGTTCAGAATTCATGTTTTGCCCAATTAAACGTGGGCGATCTTTAACTCTAGACACAGATTCAAGGACAATCTGTTCGGCAGTAAGTTGTATAGCTGCTGGAGTCCTACTCTGTATCTTAATTGGTGTCAACATAATTTTTTTTAGAAAGAAATAATTGAAGTGTCTCACCCCTTTAAATTTTTCTGGCATGAAAAAAAATGGCGTGCCAAAGGTATACATTCACAAGGGGAGAAACGTTTTTCCCGAAAAATAATCATCTTTTGATGTTTTTCCCGAAATGTACTTGCACGAAGGATCCGCTCGATGGATTTCCAAATAAATTGCTGATATAATATAAGTATAGACATGGTATGTCATCCATGAGTTTTCATGGAATTCTATAACAGATTTATGGAATTCTAAATTATCAGAAATTTATAAATTTATTCTTTGATTTTATAATAACAATACTATACTAAGATTGAAAATTGTTAAATAACATTCTCATATACGCTTATCTTCAAAACTCTATTTTAAAAAAGATGCTATATTACATATGTAACAAAAATCAAGTTTTATAGATTAACACATTGAAATTGTACTTTTCACAAAACATTATGCTTGGACTAGAAAAAATTTTTAAACAATTGTAAATAATCAAATATGATATTTGATGTGATATATGTCTAGACCAGAGATTGAAATACAAACACGAGAAAGACAAGTTCTGATCATAGGCAAACATTGGACATCACATAATATGCCCTGTAAAAAAGTACGAAAAGTGGAAAAAAATTGAGAGGAGTACGAAAAAAAAAGTCTGTTTTTCGTATCGACTCAAAAATCTCTGATATCTTGTCACTTTTCCATCACCCAAGTGTAGGAGTCAATTACCCACAATGGGGATAAAACAACATGCTTACTGTCGGACAAGCTTACCATATCTAATAAAAAAATATTACCAAAATAAAAAAAGTTTTTATTTAATCTTAATAATGTAAAGTGCACGTACAAGAAGGTGTTATTTTCTGTTGCCGCTATTGGGTTAGACATGAGAGTTATCTGGTTCTGCTCTTTATGAATGGAGTTGATTCGACAGCCGTTTAACGTTTTCAGTAAGATCAGCTTCCTTTTTATTTCTCTCTGTTGCGATTGCCTCTTTATAAGGTTTTGGTAATTCAAGAAAATTTTTTAGGTAATCACAACATTGGGAAATCAAATTTTTATTTTCGGCAATAGCTGATTGGAGAGTAGCTAGATTTTGGTCAGCTTTTAAGTTGAGTCCTTCAACTTTTCCTGTGAGTTTTCCAACCTTTCCTGTGAGTTCTTCAACTTTTCCTGTGAGTCCTTCAACTTTTCCTGTGAGTTCTCCAACCTTTCCTGTGAGTTCTTCAACTTTTCCTGTGAGTCCTTCAATTTTTCCTGGGAGTCCTTCAACTTTTCCTGTGAGTTCTCCAACAGTTTTTGTGAGATTACCAAGAGTTTCTTTAAATTCATCTTTGAAAGATTGAAAAGTTGAATTAATAGATGAGCTCAGATCATTTAAGGGTGCCCTATAGACGATAGACCACCCTCAGAAAAGCACTTTTAAGGTTATTTCTGTTAAGCTTTTATCTCGTTCAAGAGAGAGATTTTTTGAACTTTACCATATCATAATGCTTAGTTATATTATGACCAATCTCTACGATTTTGAAGATTTAAATTACGTTGAGAATTCATCGATTTTGTGATTTTTTGATTTTTTTCGAGTTTTTTTTTTGATTTTTTCAAAAAAATAAGAAAGAAAGAAAATAAGGAAGGCATATAGTGTTTTTATTAAAAACAATTATTACAGTAAACAATGTCGCCAATTATTGGTTTTTTGAAATAATAAATTTGAAAAATGAAATATTGAGCATATATTCTACCCAATATCAATTGACTGATTAAATACAATATATATCTTTGCTTTATTCACTTTGATTACTTTTGTATTAAAAAAACCGTAAAATTTGGCGGGATTTTAGCTCTTCCTATGGAGTATTCTATTCCAATCATGGAAGGATACACAATTGAAGAGATATTAATAACATATAAAGCTGATGACTGCCAAAAAAGGGTTTATCATCGAACTGTTTATTCAAATAAGAAACCTTTTTCGCATTTCATTAATCTAAACCAGCTTAATTCAAAACAAGATCATTCACAATCAAATGTTAAGGAAGAAACAATATTCAACGTCAAATTTAAGCCTGGAGTTCCGTATAGTGACGTTGTCAAGAATCTTCATACTTACATTTCTCTTATATCTGGTGCAGGATTTTTAAAACACATCGAATTGGCATCACTCCTAAACTTTCATTGCCCAACAGAAACTACATTACTTGCGCATCTAAAGAGCATATTGCCAGATCTTGAGAAAGTTGCAACAGCAAGTTGTGAAGCTAATATACAAGAAATTCTTAAACATGATTCAGAATACAAATTTAATGTTTCATTAGATTGCGCATGGAGTTCTAAGCGCGATGCTTTACATGCCGTCATTACGCTTATAGATATAAATACAAACAAAATATTAGATTTTAGAATAGTTTCAAGGCATCCAGAATTAATAAAATTCAAAAGTCCCAAAATTTTGGTTGAACCAAAAATTTCACCAGGATTAATGGAAAGCTATGCATTACGTGATATGTTGAAATCTGATTTATGGAAAAAAATAAAAGTTTTTTGTTCAGATGGTGATGTTAAAGATTCAACAATGATAGAGAATTCTGGTGCACAATTATCACATGTAAGAGATCCAAATCATGTGATAAAATCAGCATTTTCAAAAATTGTCACTAAATATCCTAAATTTGAAAAAATATTTAGGATCCTTTTTGCATGCCCAACATTAAAACCAGAGCAAAAGGTTCAGAGATGGATGGGATTAATTAATAGATATCCAGGAGAATCACCAGAGCATATCGAAAAAAGAGAAATTATTACAAATATTGCTCCATTGTTTCTAAGAATCAGCAAACAATATCATACAAATTTCAACGAAGCTTTCAATTCATTGAAAGCCCATTTAGTCCCAAAAAATCTTCGTTGGATTATTGGATTTCCAGCCAGAATTTTTGTTTCTGTATTTGCGTATAATGAAGACAATTGGAAGACAAAACTAAGAAGATTAATGGGTATAGATGATTCTTATTTTGATGAAGATATTTTACAAGTTATATTAAATTTCGAAAATAAATCCGATTATGACCATATCAGAAGAACTTCGGAAAACTACAGAAATCATAACAGATGCGTTCATTACATTCCAGATGAAATTGACCCAGAATTCGCTGACTTAGTTCCTCATAAACCGTCAAAAGATGGATCCAGATCCGAAAAAATTGAATACACTGACGATGAGGATCCGCCAGCGGATGAAGAACCGTCAGAATCTGAAAATCTTTCACTTCCAACAGATTATCCAAAATTCAACAAAAAATCTATATTTGGTTCCGTATAAAGTACCACCAGATTGGAAAAGGTTTTCATTTTTCTTCAAGGCGAAGGAAATTCCAGATGATCCTCAAGAATTCCAAAATTTATTATCCAAATTTAAACAAGATCTTTATAATACGTACTCGTCTTTAATTCGTATTAATGAAGAAAACATCTCGGCTGTTGCAGTTTACGATTCTCAGCAAGCAAAAGAAATTATGAATTCAGCTTTTACTGATTTTCATAACTTTGAGAAAATTAAGATAAACGCAATCAATTATCTTAACGTCCTCAGCCACAATCCACCATCTCTTGAAATGATAGCAGATTTTCATCCTGATTTGATACAACTTCCACAGACACTCAGAAAAACTCATGATAAGCCTAAAAAACAAAAGCTTGGTATCAAGCTTGGAAAAAATCTCAGTTTTCTTGCCGTTATTGTTCAACTTATTACATTTCGACCATTAATGCACAAACTATTTGACGAATTATTCTCTAATCCCAATGAGCAACAGTTAATATACAAAGAAATATTATCGCTCACAAATCGGAACTTTTCGGAAAATGCAGATGTTACTTATCTGTATCACCTGTACTCGAAACGGCAAAAGATACATCAAGCTGATCCAATTGATGCTTTCAAACAATTACAAGAATCGCTTGCATGTGAAGCTAGGCAACTAGATCTTATTGATTATTTCAAAAAATTCTGCTGGGGATTTACAGATAAAATTGACATTCCTCTTGTTAATAATAACGAACTTCAAGTTACTCCTACTTTTTCAGATTATCTTTTTATTGATGTTGCTGGTTTTACGTTTCCATTGGATGATTACACATGGAATAACAATCCAGCTGTAAAATCCAAACTAGTAGCCATAATAACTTATCACAGTCGACAATATAATATTATTATTTTGGACGAAAACATCAATTCATGGATTCTCTTTTGTAATACCAAAATATCTTACATTCGTGATGAGGAATTGGCGAATAATTTAAACAAAGGCGCATATAATACACCGAAATATTTGATTTTCGAAAAAATTTAGGTTTTTCAAAAATTAAATATTTCATTTGTAATGTATGAATAAAATGTATGTATTTGATATAATTGATACATTCGAAATTTTTATTCTGAAAAAAATAATAAACAATTTTTGGCTTTTGTGATCTGATAATCTGTAAGAATAAATACCGACAAATTTTATTAATATTTATCGTAAAAGTATTCGGCTCTTGATGTAAATAAGGAATATTTTTTTCAAAAGTTGCTTTTGAAGACTCTTTTATCAAGTAGCTGCATTTATTCATTGATAAGAAAGTATGCTGTACCAAAAATCGATAATTCACCACATTAACGGCCAATTTTGTTTTGCATTTCGACAAAAAAGCTCCTTTTATATAACATTACTGGGCGAAAATTAGAGTATCTACGATGACAAAACAAAATACATCAACTTGATTTTTTGCCGAGAAAAATGTTTTTGGAGGTACCAAAATAGGTCTCGAAAAGCATTGGTTTTATTTAAGGTTGTTTTTTCTGAGGGGGAGCTATCGTCTATAGGGCACCCTTAATGATTTGGTAAAAGAAGCATTTTTTTCATTCTGTTCATTTAATGATTTGGTAAAAGAAGCATTTTTTCATTCTGTTCATTTAACATACCCCTTTTTTTGGTGAAATTTTGAGGGTTTGGTGGTGGCAGAAACGTGACTTTTGAATGGAGAAACCTAATTCCGGCTAATAATGGAGATATATAGTTAACGCCTAATGTGCTTTCTAAATATCATAAGAAAAGATATGCATTGGTTTCGAAAAAAAATCTGAAAATTTCAAAAATCTTTGATATGAGAATATTATGCATAATATGTGATATAGAGATAAATAAACACAAAATCAAACATAATTTGGGAATCCCGCCAAAAGTGTAAACTACTCAAAAAAATTTGACATCCAATGAGAGGAAAAAGATATGATTTTTAAGACTAAATAATTAGTTTATTCGAATACAAACAAGATAAATAGATATATTGATTCGTCTTTATATAGGCCCTGTTGTGTTCGGGCCAAAATTCCTGTTCGAAACAGTAAATTAAGTGTTTAATTTGTACTTGTCTCGTACTTTTTCTTCTGAATCAGGTTTAGTTTGTTGTCTTTATTCATGTTCTTCTTGTCTTCTCTTTCTCTTTTGCTCTTTTGTTGTGGTGACTTCTAATTTGTATCTGTAATAGTGTATTAAGTGGTAGTTTTATTGTTAAATCTGAGATCTTTAGTATATTTTGATGGTTGTATACGTATTCGAGTTGAATATTATGAAAATTGTGTTAATAATTTCGAATATTTAAGGTATGTGTGTTGTTTTCGAGTTTAAATCGATTGTGCATGAAGATGTGCGGTTGGTGATGATGCCTCTTTGCCTAAACGAGCTATGGACTTTTTCCAAAAAAATTCGCGAACACTAAATTGCTAGGAATAGGGTTGTTAAAAATATCAAAAATTAGCGTTTTGAAGACACCATGGTGTCTTATAATTTTCCCTTCCTTATTGGCGTGTAGAAATAAATGCGCCAATAGATTGAAGAAGAAGAATTGTTTTTCTCTTAATGAACTTTAATCCTTTTGATATAAGAATATTAAAAACATTAATATAATTTCGATTTCGGAAATTAAATTTCCAAATTTTTTGTCGATTTCGGAAATAACAGGATCCCGCATCCAACACGCAACAACAAAACACAAAACACACTTTTTGGTTCTTTCATCGTTTTAATCGTAATTTATGTAATACATGATTTGGATAAATTTTACAAAAATAGAACCTATATTATATTCTTTTCAAAGATTCTTGCAAATCATCAAAAATAATTGTATTTTAAAAAACGATCAAATTATCCTTTCATTATTTTAAACTTAAATTAGTTTTTATGATTGACTAAAGCAATCATATTTATTCATCATTAAATAAAAAAAAATAATATTTGAGAGTTATTTCAAAAAAACACATTGAATTTATTAATTTGTCTCAATTTCAGTATTATAAATTTTTATAATTTCAATATTTTGAAATACACTTTTTAATATTTCAATATTTATGATATTTCAATGTATTAAGTGGTCTCAAATTGAGCTTCTCAAATATAAGTTGGCCTATTCAAATAATAAAATTAAAAAATATTTAAAATAATAAATAAAAGTGATTGAGGTCATAGCAAAACGGCTGTTTCAGTCATTAATTCTTAAAAATAAAAAGGGTAAAAACTAAATACAATGGGTAAAATTCAATAGTGTCTGTGCTATCGTTCAATTTGAAGGTGTCTTTTGAAACCGCAAGACACATTGAATTTTTGAATAGTGTATTATGGTTTGACAAACACCAATGAAAAAAATAAAATGATATTTATTTTAAATATATAAGATCCTTATATAAAATATAAATATTTTATCGTTTTATTTTCTTGTTTTAGAAATGTTTTTTATTGAAAAATCAATAAAACTAACTTCAAAATAAAATTTTTGATTTAAAGACACTATGATGACACCAGGCAAATCTTCCAAGACACCTATCGTCGGGAATCTAACAACCCTAGCTAGGAAAAAAATGAAGTGGACAAAATCAAAAAGACAAAACTTAGATTTTTTTTGGAAAAAATTATAAAAAATTTGATATTTTTGAAAATTTTCACCGATAAAGTTATGTTTAGAAAGAAATGAAATCTACAAAATAAAATAAGAATATATGTTCTTATAAACAAATACAAAAAATATGAAAAATATTTAAATAATTTTATATTAATTTTATCAGAGAAAAGAATAAAATATCAGATGAATTATAAAATGGTTTACGTAGTATATTTCACATCTTGTTATTAATTGCGATTATTGCATATATGTATACATGCTGAAATTTAGAATGAAATTTTACTAAAACTTGGATACTGAAGGGAAATAAGTAGATTATTATAATAAAAAATAAGAAAAGAATAATTTGTCTTAAAGTAAGGTGTTTAATTTAGCAGTAATTCGGAAATTATTTGTGTATTATTTTAAAATTATGACAGTTAGCAAAACTATCATCGTAGCATAAAAAGTATCGACATTTTAAACTTACTCTGAGCTTTCTTTGTAAAACTGAAATTTTAATTTCGAATGTGAAATTTGAAAAATTAATTTTTAAGCGAAGTCTCAAAACCCAGCTTTTATCAACAAACAAACATGATTCTATGGCATGATTTCGTAAAATACACCCTTGACATTGCATTATTGCGGAACATTACGTTCCTTTAAAAGATAGTGCAGATCGTATATTCTGTGGAATTTGTAGCGAACCATGTTGTTAGTAATTGCAGTTCTTGTGCTTTGTTGAAATTATCAAAATAATCTCCCTAAAAATGGCCTGAAAACGTATTCGCTAATACAAGCAAGGCTAGCTAATGAATCTATCCATATAAAATTCATGTCTAATCTTGTTTGCAAAGCGAATAAGCTTCAGTTCTCATATGAGTGTCAAAAGGGTGAGAATATAATAGGGAGAGTATCACCAAGTCACCCAGCTTAGTTCACTATTTTGGCATGTTAAATTAAACATCCTATATTTAATTGATTTAGCAAAAATATAGGATTGATCATTAATAGCGATGTATTGCTGATTTATTATTGTCCTTTCTAAGACCCTATTATCATTTTCTGCAATTTTAGAAATTTCGTCAAATAAATCGGAAGATTCTCCATTAAGATTCAATAGAACAGTATCGATCTGTACTTCGTCAAGTGCAAAATCTATTTTTCCGTATTCGTCTTTATAATGATAAAGATATTCTAGTATTTTGTTGGAAACATTTCTATTTTGGATTTCAGGCTCTGCATTAGCCTGGCATTGATGGGTGGAATAGTCATGCATTCTCTTATTAAGATTATAAGGTAAATTCATGGAACACTGACTCATTTTAACGAATCCTAAAATTTCACGAAATTTTTGTCATTTTTATTAGAGAAAATTTTTAATGAGTTCGAATAGGTGTCCTCAGTGTGGTGGCGAAGGTACAATTATTAACGATAATGGCAGGAGAATCTGCTCGGCTTGTGGTCTTATTCTTCAAGAACAAGCTCTTGTTAACGAACTTTCTTTCATTGATAACGCACATGGCGCTGCCACAGTGTCTGGTCAGTTCGTCCCATCATCTGGTATGTCAGGCATGGGTGGTGGTGTCTCCACGCAAACTGTTACTGAAGGCTTGAATAAAATTGACGCAATTTGTGATAATTTGCCGAAATTATCTCAAGATGCAGTTGAATTAGCACATCGAATTTATCAAATCGCAGTCAAGCATCGCTTTACAAGAGGTCGTACCATCGAAATTGTGTCTGCAGCTGCAGTTTATGTTGCAATTCGTGTTAATCGTTCTTCAGGTTATCTTTTAGATGATGTTGCCGAACACGTATCATGTGGCATTTACGAATTAGCTGCTACGGCCCTCAGACTTGCTCACGCAGTCAATCAACCTCTTCCAACTATTGATCCTGTACTTTATATTACTCGCTTCCTTGAAGAATTAAATCTTGGCCGTAACCTCAAGGCAGTACATGATACAGCAATCCACATTGTCCATCGTTTAGATCGAGATTGGATTCAGACTGGTAGAAAGCCATCAGGAATCGTAGGAACAGCAATTATGATTGCTTGCCAGATCCACCATATACCTATTTCTAAAGAAAGAATCAAGGAAATCGCAAGAGTCTGCACAAGTACTATTAACAAGCGTCTTAAAGAAATTTCCGAGACAGAACTTGCAAGAGAATCTATCGACCAACTTAGACTTTCAGAATCAATTTTAGACGACGATTCCCACGAATTACCACCAATTATGAAACGTAGTAAGAACAAGAACCTTCTAGATGAAATTGCCGAAGAAGTCAAAGGCGAAAAACAAGAACAGGAAGATCAGAATTTCGATGACGAAGATTTCGAAGATCCAGAGCTAGAATCGATTGACCAGGAAATCCTTACACCAGAGGAGTCCGAGAAAAAGCTTACACTTTACATGGCCATGTTCAAGAGCCACTTCAACGCTCCACCAAAAGAACCAAAACAAAAACGCCACAGAAAGAAGAAACAAACTTCTACATACCAGGACAGCGATGCAGTCTATGTACAAGATAACGGAATGCTCATTGCCGATAACGATGAAATTGCTGGAGATGACGACAATTTCGAAGATATTGTTGAAGATTAAGCAATTTAATGGCTATAGTTTTTGTTTTTTACTGTTTGTGATTTGTTTTGTTATAAATTTTTACTTTTTTTAGTTTATTTCTGGAAAATTTTTCTCAATAATACCTTTAATATATTGATTTTACTAATAATTTCAATTCTAAAAGTTGTAGATTTTATAAAACACATAAGATAATAATGTGAAAATGGTAATTTCACACTAGATTTGGAGACACTAGTTCAGCCAATATACATAAGCCAGCATCGATCTCTTCTATCGGTTTATTTCTCATTATTAGTAAGACTTGTTATTATGTTAATCATTTAACATCAACCCAAACAAAATATTTGATTCAAAATATTATACAAATGATAATTTAACTCATAACATATACTTGTAAAAAGAAATTATAACTAAATAGAAAATGTGAAATACAACTTTCTTATTCAGAGATCTGATTTTCTATTGTTGTACATTCCTTTGTCACTTTTTCATTTGGAAAATGCAACAAGACCTTGGCGAAACCAAGGTCTTAAAAGGCGCAAACTTGCGTATAGAAGTGCCTGGATTTGCAGATTTAAAAGGTGATGAAATGGAGTTCTCTTTTTTCAATTTTAATTTTCCATCCACAAAAGCGCCGAGTATTAAAGCATATTTTGTAGATGATCCTTCTCGTGAATTAGAAGACACGAAAGGTTTCAAATTATCATCAATTTCCAAACGATTTATGCCACAACAAACTCCTTCATTTTTACCAGCCGTGATGGCATTCACAAGACAAAGAACTTACTCCCCAAGCCCAGACACGCAATTTCCCTTCCACGAACCATCATTGTTCGACGATAATAACAAAATCTATCAAGAAGTATGTACAGATAATACGGGTATATCTCTTTTAGATCAGATTAAGTAATCTGCTATTGATTGGCCGCATTTTGCTTATTTTTAGAAATTTATTCTTTTTAGGTTTCTAAAATAAGCAAAATTGAGATGATATCCGTTACTTTGATAAGGAACTTCCCATGCTTTTCCTAATCTTTTCCGGAAATTTTCTCAATTTGAAATAATATTTTGAGATGTTCCAGAAACATTCTTTTCGGAACGCATTGCCTGTTAATCTGAACTTCCTTACATCGTACTACTTGGAAGTATTCAAGATTTTTCTTGAATTTCGCAAAGCCACCTAATTTTGTTTCGAGTTATCAAACCTTTCTATGACGGATTTGGTATTTACACATATTGGTATTTTACCATATCAGCCATTTAAGATAAATTTAGATCATAATCATATCTCGGATTTTAGGTGAGATTATTCAATAACTACAAGGTCATTTCAAATACTTTACTCCATAAAACGATTTAATACACTTCTCATATTAATAAACAGAGAATAAATTTTATATTATTTTTTTATTGAAACTTCAAATTACGTTTTTTATGAAAAGTAATTCATATTTTTCGAGTTTTTGATTGCCAGCCACTGCGTATAGATTTCCAAGTTTGATCAGCAGAAATGTCCATTGAAACTCAATTCTTGAACGTACAATAGCTAAATATTTCTCCAATCACTAGATATTTAAGATTTTTGAAGATTCATTGAATATTACCCTAGAATACAATCATATTAACAAGTCTGTTATGATGAAACTGAGTTTTGTTATTTTATTAAAAGTATATATCTATGAATAAGGAAGTCAATTTGGAAAATTGTTTTCACTTTAGGAGAATATAATTTTCCATTTGGAAAATTTAAAAAGTGAGACGCGCAGGATTCGAACTTTTTTAAAAGTTGATTTAAATGAATTTTAGTGTGGAATATAAGGATAATATCATATTTAAAATAAGAATATACTAGTTTAGGTGGTATTAATTTTTTCGATAAATTTGAGAGTATGTACGTTTAGGGCATGAAAAGTGTCAATTCGCTCAGCGAAAGCTGAGCTAGCTTCGTTCTCGAAAGAATAAGGAAGGAGTGAAGGAGAATGATACAGAAGTTGACACATTCATATCATTTCAACAAATTTTGATCAAATTGAAATTCAATAAAATTCAATTCAATTCATATCCTTCAGTCAGTACATTGATATCCTTCTGCATCACAATGATAACTCGGGCATCAATAGTTCTACAACTAACTCAGAAAAAACAAGATTATTACTTCCTGCTTACAGCTTTTAAAAAGTTTCGATGATAAAAATCACTCTACTCTCGTTTATCGACATATGGTGATAGTAGGTAAACATATTCTTATCGATATTAATAAAAATATTTGTACGAAAATCTTATCCAATTAGAGAGTTATTCATAAAGTATATGATAATTATAATTACTTTATCTTTGTTTTATCTTTGAATAAACAATTTAATTTAAATTGCATAATATTTTTTGGTTGAAAGACAGGAAACTTAGTTGAGTTTGTATTATTTTTATCGTTTAATTCATCGTATCAGTGAGTGATCCAGATATTTAAGATATTTAGAAAAAAAATTATTAATTTGATTAACAAATTTTAATCAAAATAGCAAAAATCTATTTGATAGCTGTAAACAAACAATAATTTTTATTTCAAGCAAAATCACTTATTTTCATCTAAACGTATAAAATTGTCAATTTTATGAAAATAAATTGAAAATCCCATGAAATGTAAAGGAGAGTAATATTTTTCAATTTTCTTTTTTTCTTTGTCTCAAATATTTTCTGTTGGGAATTTTCTTGTTATCAAAAATAATTTTAATATTTGTTTATTTCATTACATACAATAAAATTTTAAAATCTATTTCTTCTCAAGAAAATTTTTTCCTTCATATGAAGAAACATTTTGTTCTCCATTTGATACTGAGTCTAAATCTCGATTTTTGAATTTTCTTCTTTCCAAATTTCTTTTTTCCAAATTAGAAGTTTAATTCAAATTTTCAATAGTTTATATATTTTCTCAAACCGTCTCAGATTTTCTCACTTTTTAGGGATTTTCTCTCAAAATATACAAAAATAGTAATATCAATACATGTGTCTAATATACTTTAAAACCATCGTGACAAAATTCAAAAACGAAGAGTTCTTCTCTCCAAATTTTTTTCAAAATCAAAAAAATGAGATAAAAAAGTACGTTTGGAAAATTCATTTTTAGCATTTTAGGAATTTTCTCACTTTTCTTCCAAATTGACATCCTTACTATGAAATAAAAGATTACAAATTGTAAGTAGAACTTAAGAAAATAAAGAGATTTTTAAAATTTATATAAGAATCTAACAAATAAATACATTTCAGTAATTCGCAATTAATCAGAAAAGGGTCAATTAATAGTACACCCATAAAGTAATCTTTGATATCGCTTATTTTTTGACTTTTTATCAAATTTTCTTATTATAAACCAATAATATAATGGAGAATTGGATCAATTGATTCGACTGAGTGATTGTGTTAGTGTGTGGTCGCTAGGTCTTACAATTTCGAAAGTATGTATAATCAGATATCGAACGCAAAGTTCAATTGCAAAATTCGAGCGATAAATATTTATGGCAAATGTCCATGATTTTGGGTACTTCACTGTATCGAGATATCTGAAGTCTGGCTCAGAACTTCAGAGTGCTTCACCTAAAAATGTTTTGTTTTTCTCAATTTTAACATATTTGAGGGAAACCAAAAACCGTTTTAATAAAATTGAGAGATGCTATCTTAAAATCATATAATATTTAGATATAAATCAAAATTAAATTTTGAAAATTTTGAAAAAATAAAATTTCAAAATAATGTGCAATATAATATGTATCAATTATGACAATGATATTTATCATATCCAAAGTCATTTTTTCTGATATATGATTTTATTCGATAAGCATTTTCGACCTTTTATCGCTTTGGGAGGGCGCAAAGCGCCCTCCCAAAGCGAGAGAATCCATAATAACCCGATTCTAAATTTTGAGTTCGAAATCTCGAATTTTTCCCATATAATAACATACTTTTTAATATAAATTTGGGGGGTTCAGACATTGCGGATCTTCGATCCGCAATGTCTTCACCTAGACCGTATACCCTACTTTTCCAACATTTAGAAAACATGCATGACCCCTACCCAGGGTCCAAAAATTGGTATTTTCTGCGCTCAGGCAACATGAGTTTTTGAGCCGCCAAATGAATAGCTCAAATAGTTTCCTCATATAGAGACATGCTTATGCTTAGAGTTTGAAGGGAAACTAAAGTGATTTTTTTCTGCATTTCGAAATCTAATGCAATCTTAAAATCATGATTAAACTGCGAATCTGGGCGCAATTTTTTAATATGTTAATATATGAAGGTACTCCTACTACTGCGAATGCTTCAAATGAAAATTCAAGGAATCAGATTAATTTGATCACATTAGTATAGTAGTGGTCAATCCAAAAACTCATATGTTGATATATAACCTATAGAGATGATAATTATCGACTCTTCATTGAAATGCATAAGATTTAATAATCTCATAAATGTTCTTTTTAATTTTCAGTATTTCGTGTGCATTTAGATTGCATATACCTGTATATGATATTTCTAGAATGTTTTGGTTAGATATTAAGTTTTTTAGATTAATATTTTAACATTTTGATAAAACAAGCAATTGTTCCATTTTGGAATCGCGATTGAACTCTAGTTTGACTAATATGATGTTGTATGATCAAATAAATTCTAACTTCATGAGATAAATTTTGAAATTAGAAAATGCGATATCTGACTCAAATATTTATCTGAGCACATTTAACATTCAATTATAAACTAAAGTAATATACAGCAGATTCGATTTGGCTTATATTTTAAATATTCAACAAATAATCTTATAAAATTGTGCTATTCACGTTTCTCAAAGATGAATTAAGCATTTACAACTTGTGCATTGATGGAATTAGATATGGATTCTAATGTTAATCGATATTTTGTAAATTGATATATATTTTATCATGGTTTGACATTTGATCGTGTTGAAACCGGAATTGCAATATGCATCATCTATATATATAATTGTCAAAATATGAGCTATAGATTTTTAAATTATGCTCCTGATTATGAGTGACTTATATGATTATATTGAATTGAGTAGTAAGAATCATAAATATTAGAATATTACGATAATGTATTATAACCTTATAGAAGCTTAAGGCTAAAAATGATAATGAAAATGTAGCTCAAATTTAAGTCTAAAATTTTGAAAAAATTAAGTGCTTATGATAGTATGACGATATTGGTGTTTGAATGTAAGAAATTAGAGATGTATTAGAAGCATTATGAGAAAATAATAAGATATAAAAACAAATTTTATGAAATAATTTAAGTTATAAGAGGTGTTAACATTGGTAATGTGTATAAGATAGTAGAATTGTATTGGATCTTTGATTAGTATTTTATAACAATTTATTAATGTAGATGTGATTAGAATGTTGGATTTCAAAGGAGAAAGCGGATTGTTCACTCTTGTTGGTCTGCATGTGTCATTCCGGGAGACATTGCCTCTGCATGTCTCCCAGAATGGCATACTGTTCCGCATTCATAACTTGAAAACTTTGACCGACAAGAGTGCATTGTGCACTCTTGTTGGTCTGCATGTGTCATTCCGGGAGACATTGCCTGTGCATGTCTCCCAGAATGGCATACTGTTGCATCATAACTTGATGCAAAACTTTGACCGACAAGAGTGCATTGTGCACTCTTGTTTGTCATCCACTATGATACCTAGAGAAAATACTTTACTTACATTATTTAAAATATTAATTTCCCTATTTAATATTTATTTATTATTTTTTGTGCTTTATATTCCCTATGGCATGTACTGAACTATTTTATAGACTCTACCGAGCTATCTCCACATATAAACATTTGACAATAACACATATATACTCTCTTCATATTCTAGTCTCATGACATATTATTGCAAAAGCTATATTT